GAGCCAGCTTGGCCCGTCGCTGCGGTTGTTGCTGTGTGTGTTGGAGCTGGAGGTGTTGGTGCAGGCCCTTGATAGCCCGGCGCTGGAGGAGCACCTGGGGTTTGTGCTGGCCCAGACATGGTAAAGGGCGGTGGTTATTAGAGGAGAAGACAGTTTTGTATTGCAGCCTGGGTGTTCGAGCCCGCCTGTCTACGCCACACGCTGGTAGAGAGAGAGAGAGTCCCTCAGCGATATGTCATGCCCCAGCAGTGTCTTTCGGATGGGGACCGGCTCCTGTTCCTCTTCAAGGTGATGAGATGAGAGGTCACAACTGCTCTCCTGGGGCAATGCCCTTCTTTATCGTATATTCGAAAGGGTTGAGGGGTTGATTTATCTGAGAATTAAGACGGCTCGAACAAGATTGATTGTAATTAAAAAAGACGATGAGATCCCAAGATTTGTGTGAGTAGCTCAATTCAATAATGCTGAAAGTAAATGGGAATCGTGGATGATCAAACGCGCCCAAGCTTAACAGAGCGCGCTTGGAGGTTAACCGACGATTAAGCGGCGCAACATGATATCGAACTCTATGAGACAATAAGAGCATGGCACACACAAGAATAACCAACTTGAAATAACCAGGTATTCCCCTATTGTCCTTTTTGCTTCTTAGGACCTTTTTTCTTTCGTTCATCCCAACAAAAGTGCTGCTATTGAAACAATTGACTGAGCAGGCACGCACGGGCCGCCACCGCGATCTGGCAGTGACAGCGGGTACGTACCTCTCACCAAGTCTTTCATTCATTGAGATCCGATTCGGTTGCACTTCAACTCACTTCAACTTCACTGTCACAGAGAACTCTCTTACATTTCATTCATCTGCTTGCATAATAATAATGCCGTTTTGGCGACAGACAGCCTAACCACCCTTTTCCGAGTATCTGTTCGACGTCAACTATCACAAAACTCTGTTCCAGCTGAGCCCTGTGTTCAGCCGAAAGTTTGAGCATAAATTCAAGGACACTTCATCATCACCAATTTCATTGCATAGAAACACAAAACGCTCATCGAAGCTCTGGTCACAGACATGGCTTCACCAAATGATGTCGAGATGGCCGGTGCCGAATCATCACGCAACGAGCCATTCACCATTGAAGAGAACATCCGCCAGCTCAATGCCATCGACCAACAAATCATCCAGCTCATGAAGCACACTGCCACAGCACTCAACGCACTCACAATACCAAAATCTTCAGAGTCCGAGCAAAACATGGATCCGTCAGCGGAGCCTACCAAACCATCATTAGACCCTGGTGCACAAAAAGACGCCTTCGCCTCTGCGACAGATCAATTTTTCCGGGCACTACACACCGTCGACGTCAAGATCAAACGCCAGGTCATGGCACTTGAAGAAGCCAATATCATCAGCCTTGCTCCACCGCCTCGCCTGAATAAGACCGGACCCATTATCCCACAACCGACACCCAACGGAGTTGGAGCTGTAGGTAACATTGGAGCAGGTTGGCTAAACAGCCGGGGGACAAGAGTTGAGAGGGATATGGAGGCAGAGCTCTGGGGAAAGGCCAAGGAAATACTGAAGGAGAAGGAAGCGAAGCTGCAGTCGGGATCACGATAGAATAGAGGCTCGACTTGGTTTTAGATTCAATGTTAATGTGACGGAAGATTTGGGAAAGGGGCCATCACTTCCCTTGACATCCCGATGAAACTGCAAAAGAATTAATCCTTGAACAAGACCTTTAACTGCACAATACGAATCTGTTTACAATGGAATTTCAAGTTGAAAGTCAAGTCGTGTGTTCTTGCTTACCCTAAACATGCTCGGAAACTCTTAATTACAGTATACGGCAGATCTTTCTGTAACTTCGAGCCTTTCATGCAAGTAGACACGATTCAGCAGACTGGATGTGTCAGATAGGTGCTAAGTTATTGTCTTATCCGATTCTCAATCTAACTAGAGGCGAAACATGCCTCCGTTATGGATTCTTTGAATTCATTATTGTGTTAACAGAAACAGCTATAAATATCGAACACCACCAAAAGCATAGACTTGAGTTCTCATACCAGCCATCCAATGAATGGAATCAAAAACCATCGTACCCGAGCCACATGCGCTATCAACTCTACCTTCTCTTAGGGTAGCTAGGGCAGGGTAGTATCGTAGTGGTGCATGTTGAGAGAGGAACTGGACGGATATACGGACATCTAAACAGCACTTGTAAAATGAAGTCCCATAAATCGGTGATCAGTTTCGGATCCATTAATGCCAAGATTTCTGATTCTTGGGGACGACTCCAATCATGGAGCAAGCGATGTTCCTCATCTACCGGATTCGGTATATTCCCGTTACTACGAGGTGGTGAGACCAATGCATGAGCTGCATTTTCAAGGTAATTCGTTTACAATATTTAGGTGACACCTTTGAGTTGACTACTAGGCGTCTAAGCTGTTCATGAAACTAATTCAATTCAGACTCTTGGGACCAAGAGGCCCAAGACTTAGGTGTAAACATGGCATTCTTGGATTCGGGTATATCGGACCCAGTCAACACACGTTACTCTATTAGCGGACAATAAAGCTCCGGCATCCCCCTGGCGCTGCAGGAATTAGTGGGAAGCAACACGCCTGATATCAAAATCAACCAATCGCCATCGCCCTTTGTGTCATGACAGCCTGCCGAAAGCTCCGGAATGACGCCCTCAATCGATGGAGCCCCCTGGAACCTCAAGTTTTATGAAGGGCCCGACGTGGGAAGTGGGAGAGGTTGGCGGCCTTTTTACTTGAACCGACAAAAGGAAACAACTTTTGAGTTTGCCCAATTTCCTCATCTCCTTCTTCCTCTTCATCTTTAGTCTCCCTAGAGGAGTTTTATTCTGCCTCGTTGTACAAGCGCAGTCATTCAGTTGCTCTGCTCTCAGAATTTCGCTATCTACTCGCTTATCGAGCCACGATCTTCCAGTGATTGCTGCTTACAATTGAATCATCTGGACGCCGCTAGACATCGACGATCCCCCACCGACGGTTGTTGTGACGGGAAGAACGGAGCCGATACTGCGATTGCTCGAAATTTTGCACGGAGACACTGGACCGTGATATTGATAGAAATTCGAGGACGTTACGGTCATGGTTGGCGAATACAAGTCGAAGGCCATTGCGGCGCCTTCGCTATCCAAGGTTGCGACAATTGCGCTTCTTGTTACAGCTGTACAAGCCCACGACCACGACACAAGCCATATTCCCGAAGGCGAAACGGTCTCTTTGGAACCTTTGGTGTGTTTTACAGGTCTGGAATTCTGGATTAGCGGCTGACGAGCAGCAGGATACAGTATTATGGATTCACATCTTCATTCAGATGTTAGCGTACGGCGTTATCTTCCCTATCGGTATGGTTCTGGGTGTAAGTAAACAAACGTACTCAGCCTTGGCGCGATACTGACATCCACTAGATGACCAAGAATCGATGGCACGTTCCGACCCAAGCCGTTGGCACCATTCTCGCTATCCTTGGCTTCTTCCTTGGTCATGCGCATAAAGGCCGCGAGTTCATTCCGAATCACGTTCATGGCAAATTTGCCCACATTCTCCAGCTTCTCCTCGCCGCGCAGGTTGTTCTCGGACTCTATCTCAAGGGACATTGGGAGAGGGGCATCAATGGAAAAATCCGAAAGTTGATCCGTCCATGCCATTCTTTCATTGGCAAGCTCATGCCAGTTCTGTCATGGACACAGATGATCTTTGGTGGAATCACAGCTCTTGGCTTTTGCCAAGGAGACCATACTGGACAATGCGCCGCACACTTTATTATGGGTGGTGCTTTCATCGCCTACGGAATTCTTCTCACCATTATCCTCGTTGTTGGTCAGCTCTGGATCCGACGACATGGACGCTCCCAAGAGTTCTATGATAGCGTTGCGATCGCCGCATGGGGCTGCGTTAACACTTTCACCGAGCATCGCTGGGGTACCGATTGGGTCAAGAACGATTGGCAACATACGACAATGGGCATCATATGGTGGTGTGCTGGTTTGGCTGGTATCTGGCTAAGCAAGGACCGCGATGGAAACCCCAAGCGCAACTTTATCCCTGGTTTCGTCATTTTCATTACAGGCTGGGCCATGTCTGCACATCCTCAGGAGCTGATGGTCAGTGCTGCTACGCACACGATGTTTGGATACACTCTCATGGTCGTGGGCATCACTCGTATCATTGAGATTGCTTTTGTGCTCAGGGACGCTCACTCCATCTCAGAAGATGGTCGAACTGCCAACAGCTTCCAGTTTGTTCCTGTTTTTGTAAGTTGAACCGTATTTCGCAGTGAAAACTCAGCTAATATTTACAGTTCATGTATGCTGCTGGCTTCCTTTTCATGGGCGCTACGGAGGAGCAAATGAATCTTGTTGCTGGCTCGGCCATGGACCACGTTTCGTACATCCTTATTACCTACTCGCTTGCGTCGATCATGTTCCTCTTCGTCAACATGCTCATTGGCCTCTGGGATCGCCTCGCACACCCCGTATTGGACACTAAGGAGCTCGGCCACAACCACTACGCCAATGGTCTCGCGGTGGAAGACGGTCAGCTGCGAGATGCCCAGGAATTCGAATTGGACGGACTGATGAGCGACGATGATGATGATCCCAGTCGAAGAATGCTCGGACCCAATAGCGAGGATAGCGCAGCGACAGTTGGAAGAAACCAACAAACTCGTGCTTGAGGGAGGACATATGATCTATCGTGGGATGTATATTTGGAGACGGGACGGGTGCATATCTAGAATGCTCATAGGAGTATTCGGCGTCATTTAATGGCATGTGTATGATGTTGAAATGACTATTTGATGGCATGGGAAGCGGCATTTTCAAATTTGTATTACTTAGACATTTTAGGCGTAATTGATTGGGATTCATGAATCCATTTGTCTCCATGTCTTGACTTTCTAGAGGAGGCGTTCTGGAACATGCACCTCTGCCGATCCCCGCGGTGGGGCACACCTTAGCGCATTCCTCACCGAACCTCCACCGAGATTTTCGACCCCGTAAAAAAAAGTTTAGAACTTCTTATCGTAAAACCTCCATCCATCACAACCAACACATATAGTCACAATGCCTTCAGTCGGCAATCCCAACGGCCCCTCCAAGAACCGCCTCGCAGCGCGCGCTTCAAAAGCCCGCAAGGAGCGACGCAAGCGATCCGAAGCACCCAAGGATAAGGTCGCAAAGGCCGATACTACACGAGGCGCAAGGCCGGGTCTTTTGCCTACGAGTGGACCTAGGGCGAAGGTGAGCGCTAAAAAGGCGCGCAAGATGGAGAAGAGAATGGCGCATGCTATGAAGAGAAAGATGGAAGCTGAGGGCGAGGCCGAGATGAAGGGTAAGTTGCTGCTTGGAGGGTTTGCGAATAGAGTGCTGATTCGGGTAGATGCACCAGAGGTTGAGGGCGAGAAGGCTGAGGAGGTTGAGATGGGCGATATTCAGTGAGAGGCGCTTGGTTGAGAAAAGGGAGACATAATGACGAACGAACACAACGAACGATATCGAGTTCCGAAGAGAAACTATTGCGACGACGGCACCGGTTTGCGAAAAGACTCTACCACGAGGCGAACATCACGGTGAAAATGGAACGCCAGAACAAAAGACATTCGTGAGATCAAGGACTGGACGGGGCTGGAACATTGTTATAGACCACAAGGAGGAGTCTGCGCTCCAACTCCCAGACGGCAAAAGGCTCAGGTCGCAAGGGCACATATGAGGGGAGATACCTTAAATCTTCTTAAGATTAACTAAAATGATGATAAATCTTCTAATTGTGTCTGCCGAATCCAAGACGGTTACAATTGCATGGTGATATTGCTGGATAGATCTTTATGTCTCAATGATGCAGAGGTAAAAGATAGGCGGTTTTGATAACGGCGGCTGTCTATTTAGAATTCTGGATAGGCCGTGATTCACGTCCCTCGAAAGCTCAACCTCCATCTTCCATCTTCAATCCGCCTTCATCTCTATCCTGCTCAACGCACCACAACCCACCAAAAGTCTGGTACCGAAATCGCATTTCTTGAAAATTAATTTTGTACTCAGGCCTTAAATCACACTTCTCATCTCTTCTCACACCGGAAGCTTCATCTTTACATCTACAAAATCACATCTTGGAGCACTCGCTACCCCGTCATAAAATGAGCACCTCATCATCTTCCAACTTTTTGCAAAACGCGGCTCAACAAATCTTGGACACCGTGCTCGTTAATTTGATGACCGCAGACTTCAAAAACCACATCTTCCTCAACTCTAATCGTCGCCTGGAGGAAGCGAAACAGAAGGGCTTTACCCTCAGTGACATCTCTATCGGAGATGACTGTCTACCTACATGGGCTGGCCGCACCTGGGACCCTGATACAGAGTCTCTGCACGACGTTCTTCAAGATGATGCCTCGAATCTTCTTGAAGCGCAGGAGGCTGGTATAATGGTCCGTAGGGATATCATCTGGAAGGGCAACCGCAAGCTGAACGAAGCGAGAGCGCTGGGTATTGCGCTGGATGACATTCGGATCGGGCTGAACTTGCTGCCAGTTTAGGGTGCTGCAGCGGAAGAGGCGATCCCGTTTCTGCCCGAATGTAGCGAAGGGGATGAAGATCACAGTTCGCCTGAGGGCAGCATCCATGAGGATACAGACACCTCCGAAGGAACTCTTTTCAACGACGACACCCAAGACTCTGATGATGACACGCTCATGGTCATAGATGATGCCGACACGACCGACTCCGACGATGAGAGCGACTCCGATATGGAGTTTGAGATGATTGGCATTGATGATGATATCCTCGACGACGAGATTGAAACATCCAACATCTTCGACCCTGAGCCGTCATATGATGATTCAGATGACGACGAACCAAACATTTTTCACGGCGCTCAAGTCATGGGCGTCCCGCCCCAACACTCTAACGTTGACCTCGAAGTTTACATCGCCGAAGATGACGAGGAGATCCAGGATCTTCCCCAGATGGAGTTGGCTATCGATCAAGAGTCCTACGAACGATACTTTGGAACTGATGGAGCTATTGATCTCGAGATCGCCGGAGGTCGACTCATCTGCACCGGGGAGCTATTTGAGGAGGACCAGGAGATGACTTTGGATAATGTGGCGGATGATATGGCGATTTTATCACTCACGGATAGTGATGAGGAATAATTGGAAGCAGAGGACTAAGAGGGCAGCGGTGAGGATGAGCGTCGAGAACATTCTTGATGGCCCTGAGAGTGCTACGGAAGCACAGATTCTTCAGACTGAGGCGGAAAATGGCATTTTGCGGGAGACTGAAGATGGATACTTTGGTGAAATGGGATAGAACTCGCACAAATTTGATTCTCGATCATGTCTTAAATCTAGCCTCCCACACACAGCCAGTATCTAAAAAGCAATTGTTTTCATCACAACATCCCGAACAGTCCTGTAAAATGACAACATAAAACAATGACCTCCCTTTCCTTTGACATGTTATCTTATTCCCTTCACAATAGTCCATCCCTTGTTTGCAAACTCAACAGCACTTCTCAGAGTTCATCCTCGTTTAAGGGCATCGACATCTTAGGACGGTACGCTGCTCGCACAAACTTGGATAAACCTTCGACACGCGCGCATGTAGTCTCAGGAATCTGAGGAACTGCAGGGATTTGCTGAAACAACTGTCGACTCTGCTGAGCTAGCGGGCTCTGCTGAAACTGCACATTGTGCTGGATCTGAGGACTCTGCAAACCGAGGACCTCGCCCATTTGCATCTCCAGCTTGGCAACACGACTTTCCAACTCTCTATTCTGCTTCTCAAGCTCTTCCTGTCGTTTGTCATTACCGGCTCTAGTCACCTCAGATCGTTGTAGTCGAATCGTCACCGGAGTTTGAGTAGACGTACTCGTTCTGGCGCTTGCTGCATGTCCCGCAGGGTTGCCTCCACGGCCAGTAGAAGGGTTTCCTGGAGTGATAAAGATTGTTGATTTCTCTGTCTCCATAGGCGTGAGTAGTAGATTCCGGGGAGTCCGCGTCGGGGTCGCGAATAAGTCCATATTAAACTGATTAGGCATGAAAGCTGAAATATCGCCAGCTTTCATGTGAGGGCCAGCGTTTGCATGCAGCTTGGCAGCACGGATGTTGGAGTAGGTTTTGCCTGAGCCTTTACAGTCGAACTTTATGCACATATAAGTGCTCTCCCCTTCCAAAACCATCATGCCCTCGATATCTTCCAGGACCTCCTCAGGAAGTTCCTCAGCCAGAGCATGGAAGTTCGCGTTGGCATGTTTTTGGGCGCTGGTGAGATGCTGATAGACGGCGTTGATCCTTTTACAGCCAGGCTTGACGCAGGTCCAGACGCCTTCCTCCATTGAGTACTCCACCCCGTCGAGGTTCTCATCTGCAGAATCGGGCTCCTCAGCAAAGGCATGGCTGTCACCGCTGGCGTGCTTCTTTGCGTTTCCGAGATGCTGAAATAACTTGTTGAACTTCTTGCAACCACGCTTGAGGCACCTCCAACCGTCGCCATCCCTCAAGGACTCCATGCCTTCGATATGCTCAAAGGATTCGTCAGACGAACTGATGAACTCATTCAATTCCTCGGCGGCCTCGAGATGAGCGACTGAGCTGAAGTGGCTCTTCGCATTTCTCAGCCCTTTGATGACAATGTTGAACTTTTTGCATCCTTGTTTAGTGCACTTCCAGAGTAATCCATCCTCAGCAACATCCATGCCGTGAACATCGCTCTTCTTCCAGACTTCTCCGCCTGAATCATCTGCGTCTGAAGATTCCAGGTCTCCTTCCGCCTGGACGTGACCTAGTGATCTGCTGTGCTGCTTCATAGCGCCATAAGAGTCGAACTGGAAACGAAACTTGGGGCATTTCTCGTTGATACATCTGCCTTTCTTCCCACCAGCATAGAACTGAATTCCAGGCAAGACATCTCTATCACTACTGTAATCGAGGTCATCGTCGTCGAACTTGACAGACCATCCGTCGCGATGTTCGTCGTCTTTCAGGTGGTGGAAGAAAGCCTTTGCTGTACCAAAGACTTCCCCGTGTCGGTGGCAGCGACGAGAAGTGCATCGGAAAGATTGAAGACCTTCCTGCTCAGCCTGGAGTGCAGAGGCAGTCGGGATGCTCGAGAGCAAGACTTTGTTCAAATTCGTAGCTGTTCGATGAGCGCCTGTGTCTGCATGGCGGTTGAACTCGGACTTGCACTTGTAATCTGTACGGTAGTGTCGGCAGCATGGCTCGTTACAGATATTGCCACCTGATGCGAAAGGGCCAAAAACATCATCTTCAGTGCTGTGATGGCCGGAATTGAGAGATGGTGTGAACACCGAGTCGTTATCATCTGCAGTCTCTTCGTCGCCAACCCAGTATTTGTGACCGCTTGACTTTCGAACATGTTGGCGAAAGAGAGCGTTCGTCTCGAAAATTTCTCCGACCATCTCGCATTCTTCATCTTCATACACCCACTGGGTGTTATGTTTGCTTGCCTTGGCATGTCGTTGAAGTGCAGGCTGAGCTGCAAAGCTCACATGACATTGTCCACACACGTAGGGACCTTGGTGCCAGTTCTTGTCGTGCTTCTAGCACTCTTCAGCGGAGACAAAGATCCAGCCATCGCAGTTGACGTAGGGACAAGTGAAAGTGAACTGCTCCGCTCTATTCGGGCACTCATCCTTTACGTAGTAACCTTCGGGGGCTGGGTGAAGGGGCTCCTCGTCGAGCGACATGACTGAAAGGGTGTCCTCCTCACCGGACGACATAGTCGTACAGGGAGATACGAGCGTATCGATGTATTGTGGACTCGAGTTGCGAGCTTCAGAAGGAGATCTCTAGAAGTCTGTGTTTGTGTCAGTGTGTGGAAAAGGGGGCAAGCGGATGTGATTGTACCTTTGAACGACAACAGAGGAATATGATATCTTCCAAAACTACTCCAGCAACTCTGCGACAGCTTCGTGTACTTGTATGAAAATAAAACAAGATGTTGCGTTTGTTGATGTGACCCGGGATGCGCTCTGGGTGTTGACGAGGTAAAAAGAGAGGTTCAAGCTTCAACACGTAAAAGGAGGGCAGGCGATTTTGGGCAAACAAGCTCCGGATTAAGGAGGAAATACAGTCCTGTCTGCTCGAGAGGCCAACAGTGAATAAGAGACAGAAGCAAGTCTGTTTACGCACGACGTGCTGCAGTGTTGCTGGGTGACTGGGCTTGTGTAACTGCCACTGCTACTGCTAACCTGATTTGAGTACGAGTTAAGCCTGCTCTAGAGCGCATAAACTAGAGGAAAGGCTGCTATTGACGAAGAGGAGAATAATCATATAGATAATTAGGAGGTGATTCTTGATTTCATGGCAGACGAACAATAGTGCTGCACCTGCAGCTGTGGCGATCATAGAGCACTAATTCAAACCACATTTCAAGCAACATCCGGTATGGTGTAGTGGCTAACATTTCGCGCTCTCATCTTCAGCTGAGGGATCAGTACCGCGGAGCCCAGGGTTCGATTCCCTGTACCGGAGTCCTTAATCTTTTGCACTCATAAGCTCTTGATTTTGGCATAAAGAACTGCATCCTCTTCATCTTTTTGTCATCGGGCGTGGCCTCATGGGAACTGATGTTATAATACCGGCGGCGCGAAGTGAACAGAAAGTGATTAAGGGGTTGAATTGGTCCTGAGGGAAGCAATAAAACTTCAGACCTTTACGCAGGAAGCTGAAATAAATCTATCATGAAGTCTATTAAGTTCTTAATAATCTACCTAGGTCTTTCCCTAAGTCTTTTTATCACTTAGGATCAAGGTTCTAAGTCTAGTCTCCTTACCAACATGGCTTCCACAACCCAAGGAACATGTACAGCCTTGTCCAGTCGGGCTGTACACGACACTTACACACAGAAAATAGGTACTGGCTGATTCATTCAGACTGAATTAGTTACAAAAAAAAGCTCAATACAAAAGAGACTACAGCGTAGTAGGTTTGTTCAACAGCTCACACGCTCAATCACCTCCATGCTTCCTCTTCAAATGTCGTTTCAAATGATCTCGCCTCGCAAAGTCCTTTCCACAGTGTCTACATATAGGCCTGCTTCGACTTAGACCCATATTGGCTGCTTCGTCTGGATGGTTACTCCGATAGTGCCTCTCCAGATCGCGTTTCCACTGGTGCCCCTTTTCGCAGATGTGACACTTCTCCGGCTTGTCTTCTTTTCGCTTTTGTCTTCTGAAAGAAGTGTTAGTATATATGAATGATGTAAATCTGATTGGGACGACGTGCTTTAGATCACAAGGCCTGGTGCCCGGCTCCATCTTCGTTCTTCGTCTTCTAGTTGTGGTACTTGATGCGTTTTCGGCATCTTTCGTCGATAGGGAGTCAAATAATTGTGACTGTGATGGTCCTGAGGGACTCTCAGTCATTGGTGAGGAAGAGTTTGTATAAGTTGAGGAGTAATTGGAGAGTTCTGTGGTCGTTATCGAACCAGAAATAGTAGTAGTGACGAGGTCATTGATTGTGGGCATCGTCATGAAGTCCCAGTTCATAGGCAAGGTATCAGGGCAAATAGTCTCTAGAGTCGGCAGCTCTTGAATGTCAAATAGGGTTAGGTTATTTGGGTCGGGGTAAGTGTCAAATGAGTTGATATTGTTTGTGTTGACTGTATCTGGAAAGGTATCCAAATGTACGTCGGCAAACGCTGCGTCATTCGTATCATACGGAGCATTCAGTGGTATTGGCAAGTTATTCCAATCATGGCTTGCAGAGTCTAGGTCGAAGTCTAATTCTTTGCTCATGAAGAGCGGATCGCTGATGGGTGTCCGACCTTCCATGTTTTGTCAGGCTGGATTGGGCGAGCCACCAGTGGCCGCACCCGGAGATTGGGCTTTGTGAACTCGGGGACAGGGAGCCTTGAACAAAGCAAGGCGATGCAGGGCATGCAACAGGACACCTTTTTAAGACTTATCCGGGTCCATGAATCGTGTTGGCTGACAATGTAAGTCCACTGTCACATCGAGGGAGTAGGAAGCCGACATACCGAAGCAAAAAGGGAAAACAATAGGCAATAATGGAATGACTTCTTTCAGATAGCTCGATCGCGCGCGTTGCTGAAATACACATTCCAAAGCATCTGGCCGGGTCTTGAAGATCTACATGTCCATGTGTCTTTGCGCAATGACAACAGGATCATAGGTCCTCAAGATCCGGCCAAAGTTGGCATGGTAGGAATTACAGCCTAAGGGGCTTGTTAGGTTTCCTCTTACAAGCTTCCTGGCGATAACTCACGTTCGCGCGCACTCGTGTTCTCACGATGGCCATCCAAGCTTACCACGCATGACAGGTACCAGGCATCATGCGTGATCAGCTTGAAGGCTCGCCAGCACCGCCAGGAAAACCACGATCTGCCCGACAACAAGATTAGTAGCTACAACTGTTGTCGGGCACAGAAAGATAGCTAGTAATGCTGTGCCCGACAACAGTCGTAGCGACCAATGTTGTTGTCAGGCAGATCGCAGTCTTCCTGGCGGTGCTAACACATGGGGGTTTATTAAAGGGACACCAGGTCTCGGAAGTACAAAAGTGAATTTGATGAAGAGGAAGAAAAGAGGGAAAGGAGAAAGTGAATAGACACTGGGTATTTATCCTGGTCAAAGGGGGGTTTACAGGTGAGCCGTGGATGGCCTCTCATTGGCAGGTTTGGAGGCCTTTGCAGATGTTCATGAGGGGCAACGTCATATGATGGTCGGCCTCCCAGGCTAACGTGTCTGCAAATCTCTCACTTTGGGACCTACACAGATATGACGAGAAGAAACAAATGGAACTAGAGTTTCAAGGCTATCTGATATTTTATTGCTCTAGTGAACCCCATTTGTCCCAGCAACACAGTGTTGACGCGATTTGGAGGAGACAACAGGGGTTCGTTCTGCAACAGCCGGCGAGGGCTTTCTCACATCTACCGGAAAGCTGAGTATTGGAGCAAGGAAGGACTTGTATTCGTTGACCTTTGGCCCTCCCTGTAACCAACCTACTGCACCAGGTACTCTTCTTCTTCCTCTCCGTCGTATACGTCCCTAAAACACCTTGTGGTTCCAGATCTTGCTTATATAGTAGCGCCGTGACCCTAACCTCTGATGAATTCCCCTTGTCACCTCTCAGTATGCATAAACTAGACGAGGCCTATCCGTACCGCAGCATTCAGCTGCTTCTTTATAAGCGCCGACACCTTTTCGCATATCAGTCTGTGTGCGATGAGACGACGAATGGGTAGGGCATTATCATCAGCGTCATAATTTCCTGCGTTTCATGGACAATCCATGAATTGTCAGGGGTGGTGTTTGGGGAATACTATCTCAGTGCGCCAGGATTCCTCTCCCGAGACAAGATAGTTATGTAGGTGATTCTGGCCCACCTGGGATGCTCAAGACATGGTGTTGATGGTGCTTTCTACTCGAGTTGAGTAAAGTGTTACACCCCAACGTCCAGATTATACTGGTAGAGCCGAGTGTATGCTTCCGGCCATCGTGCCTGTGATACTCTACTTTCGGCCCATGGGGAGAGACGAAAAGTGATATCAACTAGTGGAAGACAGCAGTATACAATGAGGAGATATAATGCTCTTGATGTCGCCACCTTTGTCCGATGCAATAGAGTCCGGTTTCCATTATTTGTAGCTGGATATGGGAAAGGCATGTGTTCCGCGAATGAAAGGGGATGCACCTCTTGCGAGCTTCAAATGGAATGAGGTTGAAAGCTTGCTTCTTGCTTGCATCTTCCGGGAGTCCACTGCACCAGGAAGAACTTCTGAACAATACTGTGAAACTTGCCCAAGAATTGGGTTGGGGATTCATGTCGAGTTGCATTTGCTCCTCCGGCTCGGTGGTCGTTTCTTCGCTCGCCCAAAGGATAGTGCTTCTTGAAGCTTGGGTCTGGAGCACATATTGACTTGTATTGCAAAGTTGCAGATCACGTCTCAGCTTGAGAAAGATTCTTTAGTTGTTCCATGACGTCCGAGTAGAGGTCGTCGGCAATCTGATGCCCGATTGAACGGTTGTTCATTGTTGATGATGAGCAGTCGACCTGAGTCAATCAGGTTCACAGCTTGTTGACAAGAAAAGCAATAGTATGCCTCAACCTTATTCCTAAAGTTAGGCGGGGACCCATATTCTAGAAATGCGATTATCTGTTTGGGCGAGAAGTAACGTTAGGTCTCATTCTCATGCGTAGGTGGGTTACTATTAAGCCACATTCTGGTTTGAATGCCCTTGACGTCTCAAAGCTGAGGGGATATTGGTGTCTCTCCCTAATGTAGGTATTTGAGTGGAGCAAAGCCAGTTGTAAGCGCCCAAGAGGATATAGAGCTGCTTTTGTAGTTGGCAAGAAAGAGGTCTCTCAGGTTGAGCCTGCTCCGGGCGCCCTGGGACTCCTGGCGTCGACGATTTCTAACCGCTGGCGCGGGTGTCCTATTATTAGAGACAGTGTTGTCTTTAATAGTAGCAAGGTTTAAAACAATGGTGTTGAGTTGTATCATTCAACACGTGATCGCGTATTGCGAGGCAGAGGGTGAACTGGCTGAATTAATCATCCTTGGACTTGAAAGAGACGATATGTTGATGAAGGAAATGCCGCGTTTTCTCCAGTAAGTTCATGGGGTCAAAAGTATCCGCATGAAGCTGCTGATCGGTGATTGGCACCATTGGTTTGGCCGAGTTGAGGGTTGAGTCTGAGATGGTCGCGATGCAATAGGAGCTGGATTGCATGGCTCGAATTTCTGTCGCAATGACAGGTGGTGCTTATAGGCGGTCACTCTCGCAGGGTCCTGATACCTCAACCAGAGGTTCAAGGGGCGCGCTGCCCCTGGAGAACATACCACCTGATGGCTGTTGTGAAGGCTCATCATTGCGATTGTTATCGTTGGGTCGACGGGTGGCGGAAAGGAGATAGTGCATTTGCTTAGATGTAAGTTCCCTCTATGAGGAGGGTGAGGAAAATAGCGAGCGATGTCATTAATAGACACCAGATCTCCCTTGATAGCAACACTCAGCTCTTCAAGTTCATACGAGGCCGATAGTCTGATACGATTCGCTTTGTTGGGTAGATATTGAAGAGGCCAAGGCACAGAAGGAACGGGCCTCAAGAGCTCTTGGCCTCTTCAAGGTTTATCAACATGCCCGATAAGATACGGCTTCCACTCATCAGAACACAGAGGGGCCTTTGCTTGAGCCTCGTCTGGGGCCTCGCTCGGGCGTTGTCTTTTCTTGCTGTTGTTCCGCCTGGCGGGGGATACCCCAGGGTTGCCCTCGATGGATGCGACGACTTGGACAGCTCTGGGCAGGCTTGAACGAGACTGTAGAAACTTAGTAAAGGGTGGATAACTCAATCCCAATACCGTCTTTATGTCTAATGATTGCCTCGAGTTCGTTGGTGGGAATGGGTATGATCGGTCGGTCATCTATATTCAGAGGACGCTGGGGACGATGCTCCCCGCAAAGTATCATGTGAAAAAAAGAGCCTGAGAGACTGTTTCAAAACTCAAGTCCTCCCATAACCGTGCGCCCAAGCTGCGAGAGCGTCATACGACACCTGCGTGTTTCGCAAGTTGACGATGGCACTCAATCCTTCGCGAATGGCAAGGGGATGGTTATGTTCTTGAAGACTGCAGTGTATTCTTTTATCGTCGGCCGCCATTCGGGCTTCTCTGATTTGACATTGTGGTGTTGGGAATCTCGGTATTTATGACGGGAAAACGAGATGACAGAAACTGGGCGTCGGATGTTACCTCGGGTTATGCAAAAGAATGTCGGATTGACCCCACGAACGGATCTGAATGCCACTTTGCGAATGACGTGGAAATTTGTAACTAATCGTGGGAATTGGAGTCCGTCCAGTCGCCCTTCGACATGGCGATCGTGAGAATGTTGTTACCCACCATGAGGACACTGATCTCACCCCAAGGGATATTGATCGGCGTTTACTTGCTCTTCTCTCTTTCATCTCCCGTATTATCTCAGCGATGTATAGTTCAGTGTGCTGGATAAGATAGTGTGCAAGAGCTTGTCTGGATGTGAGAGACTTGAATAGTGTGCCCCTGTGCTTGAGAAGCGAGGCTCCATCGGGGAACTTAAATTCACCGAGATCCATGCCATTCTCATCTGTACGGTTGCTTGTATCTCCTCTCACTGTCCCGGGGATCAAACCAATGAACAAAAGGTCAGAGACCTCTATAGCACAACAGGCGTTGCTGGTTGTTGGAGGTGTCGACCTGGTCCAGCGCAACGGACTGAACTAGCTCTTTTGCAATTCAAAAGAACTCATAGCCTATCCAAACACACCTCGAGATCCATGCCATGGTCGTTGCTTGTGCAACACTTGAGCAGATCGGTGAGCTCCGGGTCGTCGGATGACAGCACGCCTACCCAGTCGTGCTTGACTAGGGCATAAATGTGATGTTCCTAGAAATCAGTGACTTCACAAGTTGTACAGCGCGTCGTTGTCTGGCATCCTCCTCCCATTGTAATACATATCTTCCACCAGCCACACTGCAAGTCGCCAACTGTAACAGATCATATAAATCTTCAAGTCCTGATGTAGATCGTGGTCTAGTCGCACTACAGAGGATCTCGAAGGTGGAAACTTCTTCATCAAGATGGAAGCTCGGTTCCCTTAGGAAGCTTATAGGGCGATGAAGGGGCCGTAAGACCTGTATATAGGGTCAGGCGGATCGCAAATGGGCTCCTGTTTCCGACTCGATGTAGTTTGTATTGAGACTGTTCACAGACTCGAAATGCGACAGCCCGAGGAGTGAAGTTGTACTGCAACTACAAGGATTGATCATGGTAGCACTTGTCCGTTATTGTCGTGCCCTGCCGTTGCCTAGATGCCACTACTGGCGCGGCAGCCAGCCCAATGTTTAACCTTATGGCCAGCAAGTACTTTCGTAGCTGATCTGCCCGGGCCTCGGCGAGCCGGACGTTGAATGGATGGATCGCTGTAGTCTCTCTCGCCTGGCCAGGCTCATCAATTGGGCTTGATGTAATCACTGGAGTAGCCCTCCCGTAGAAAGTTCAGAGATTCTTCAATAGGTCGTTGAAAGCGGCGGAGCATATGGGCCAGAGCCGCCTGGCTCCCCCCGCTGGCGAGTCAATACTGGACGTTGAGCAGCAAGGGCCTGAGGAGCAATTGCTGGAGGAGCGCGTATCTGGGCAAAGGCTTAGTGCAACATGTCAACAGCCTTGTCCTCAGCCTCGGCCAGCTCAAGCTTCTGCTGATCGACTGTGTTCATGTAGAGGCTGGCGCTATGCTGGGCGTTTCGTCGATGCTCTGGCTTGTAAGAGACTGGGAATGCTCGGGCGGAAATGAGCTTCGTACCATGCGAGCACGGTTGGAGAAACATCTCTCAGTAGGCTTCATTGTTGCTCCAGGACACTTGGGTCTTTCCCTGGCCTTCAGTCTGTTGTCACTGACTCTGAACCACTTGGTCCGTTATCAAGAGGCGAAGGCATCATGTAGTAGGCAGGACACCAAGAACGTTAACCTCGTTTGTACTACAAACAAGCTGTTCGTCTTGATTCTCCGCAAACTGACGAGGATGGTTCGCAATGAGGGGAAACGGGGGCTCCAAATCTCGGCACTGGATTGCATGGTTCGAATTTCTCCCCAGGTAGACCTGCTAGATGGCCAAGAGTACGATGTGCAGAGTCTTGGCCAAGTCCCAAGGATATGTAGAGAACATAAAGTTAACTGACCGAGCAATAGAATAGCCAACCTTGATAATCTGATTACAGATATGTTAGTGTCTGAGAAAATCGAACATGAAGTATTCATCAAGTCCCGTGGATATGTTTCGCCCGCGTCGTGATGTCCAGTATACATATACTAGATCTGGAATGTCTATGCTGCTGCCCGGGTACTGTCCACTCGTCCTCACCAATCCTTCTCATGACTCTGAGAGTGCGCTTGGTGACGTTCCATGACATACTGAGCTTTGTCAGGCACGGAGGCCATGGCATGCCTCATCTGTTCCAATATACCCATTGCCGCGGAAACCGTAAGATACGTGTGCCCGCCCGGAAGCGTAGCAGCAAGTGATAGTGCCCGGTGGGATAAGAAGGCTTGTTGCCAAGGGCACGCGTACACAGATAAGAGCAGGAGAGCAAGGTTGTCCTCGCCCAGCTGTCGAACTTGATGACATGTGCTTGCAAATTCCTTTGGCGCGTAAATGTATTACCGCATTGTTGACACTTGTGCTGTACCTTCTTATGGCATTTGGTGAGATGTTCAGATTGATCAGTGTAGAATTCGCTACATTCTTTGCACTGTTTACATTCGTTATGATGCACATACCGGATGCCTCCCTGCCACAGAGATCCCACTTCAACTCACCCGACAGCCTTGTCAAGCATACCAACATCACCAGAGATCCAAGCCCGGCCGTTGTTATTGCAACACCGTATTCCTACAAGTTTACTTCCCCTCAATTTAGGCAGCAGTCCCAAGATGCTTCCCGTTAATGCATCGTCATCTTTCGAAAAGCCGTGCTCTCCCGTCGACCTCTCTGGAAGCAAACAGCACGATCCCGAGACAGAAAACACATCTTCACATTCAGCAGACACTTGCAGTCCTTATATCACAGCGCCCTCATTAATGCACCTCTCCGTCCACCGGATACCTCCCCGCCACCGATATCCAGCTTCAACCCGCCGAACAACTTTACTGAGCAAAGATCAGGAATCCAGGCTTGGCCCGTCATTCCTGCAATTCTGTAACACCCTAAGTCTTTCCCCGTTACATCAAGTATCTATCAGACTGAAAACAAATCCCGTTAACGCTTTCACGCGGGCTCACCTTCCTCAAGGAGATCTTCTCCCGTCAAGGTCTCGGGAAGCAAACACGATCCCGCCTCAACTGCATAACTTACAATAATATCTCTCGCCGATGCATACTTGCTTTCAATCCGAGTACGCGCTGTTATTACTGATGCCGGATAATGATGTATTGTTCGGATGGAAGCCACCACGACAGGGATAATAGCTCTCACCAAGGCCGCATTGCAACTCAAGACGTTTGAACGTATGACTGAAACTGCGGCCTGGCGTATCGGATTACGCCCGTTTAAGCTGGTGGCGATATCACAAACAGTCAACCATTACCATTAATCAATTCACGGTACGGAAATGTTGTCAGCTTGTGCAACTACATGTAAGTCGCCACCATGAGCCTGAGGACTTCACATGTCTCAACTCGGCCTGTCAAGAGGCTGTCAGAGGTGGAGAGTAATATATGCATACTGATTGGATCGATGATTCTGTCAATAGCTTTGCATTGGTGGACCATTTCATGACTATGGGTGAGAAGGTTGAAGACAAGGCTTGAGTTATGAGATGTTGTCGTGATGAGACATTGCGTGTCCGAGCACGACTTCAAAGAAATGGTCTCGCCTCAAACCTCAGCGAGGTGCCAGAAATCTTAGTCTAGATAAATATAGTAAAATAAATCTTGAATTCTCCAACTATAGTGTCCATTATTTGTATCCCTGTTCCGGGTCTCCAGTATCTTTACTCCTACGGGCTTTGAGGCTTAGTTCAGGGTAACATTCACATCAATGTCACCAGGGCAAGTAAAGTGTGAGGCGAATTAGCTTCATTTCTAACCAAGCCAGGCCATGTATCAGCCTGCCTCATCTCTATCTGCTATGTCTCGTTCAGCCGAGTAACTAAGAAACCCGAGCGAGTGTGGTATCCCCAACGCCGATGATGATATGTAAGAAAAAGAAAAATACTGGGAGCCATCCCTTCCGATGCCATGCATGTCGCACTCCAAACGACGTACAATGATTTGGCCCTGAGGTCACAAGACCACACGGCAACAAAGCCAAGAACACACAGTCTATTATGCAAACTTGTCTTTCCACTGTGATCCAAAGTCCCTTACAGATGCCAGGAGCTAATAGTAAAAACAGAAAAACATCCACACTGCCCATCGCGCCGTTCATCCCGCATCCCGAATCGCCTGTCTGCGATCGAGGTAAATTTCGTATTTCGTAAGACATGTTTCGTTTCGTCAAGTGTATGAAACAATAGAACAACAAATAAATCAATGCCAAGGCTGAGATGGTAAAATAAAACCCGATATGGTGGAATACATGCGTCAAACGCCGTGAAATGAAGTCCGAGGACGATACATGGAGAGGTTGGCTTAGCTGTCTAGGCAGCATAGGCTTCGCGGTAAGCTGGGTACTCGCTAAATTGCACATCGCCGTAACTTGAAGTCTTAACCTTTCCGGGGTAGTTGGCGTAGCCAGCAGAGTAGGTAGCCTCGCGAGAGGGCATGGAAGGACGCTCAACAACGCGAACGCCGGGTTGGTTGGCGTAGTATGAGTAAGCCTCCTCAGCAGGAGTGGCGCGTGAGTATGAGTTCTGTAGTGTTGTGCGGCCATCATTAACTCGGTACTGCATCACATGTTCGCCACGCGACTCAGGAGAGCGATGCTTCTTGCTGCTGCGGTGAGATTTACGCTCCCGTTCCCGTCGGTAGCGATCATAATCATCCTCATCATCGCTCTCAGGGACCTGAGCTTGCATCCTTGTGCGGCCACGACCGCGGGGGTCTGGCTCGGGATACGCGCCACTGAAGGTTTGAGCTCGAGAGATGCCTGGTACGTGGCGACTGTAACCCTCATTGGGCATAGTATTCGTCCGTCTGGGAGGAGATGTGGTAGGTGCGCCAGTAGCTGTGGCTGACTTGTGCATATGAGGACGAGCGGTAGGAGGAGTGGCCTCGATAGGATCATCGACAACCTCAGGCTTGTAAGCCTTCTCGCCTGTGGATCCACGTCTGGGTTTGGCGGATGATCGGCGGGCATCGTCATCGTCAGCCGGAGCAGCGAAAGGAGAGCCGACTGGAGGAGGTGTAGGAGCGGGAGGTTGGACCATGTGTCGAGAAGCATATGATCCTTTACTTCTGGAGGCCTGGATGTAGTTGAGTGCAGCATTGGTCTTATCCTGGTATTCCACAGGAATGGGTGGCGGGTGCATTGAGCTTGTCGTGGGAGGTGCCTCCTCACGGTGTGATGATCGATCACGCTCGCGTCGCTCATCATGCTTCTTGCTGGACTTCTTCTTCTCGGACTTTGATGAGATGGGCTCACCATCGTAGGTCTCAATGTAAGGCTTCGTATGTCGCTTTTTCTCCTCAGTATCTCGCTTGCGAGACTTATCGCGGCTCTTCTTCTCGGCACGTCGGGCTTCCTTCTCAGCCTCCTTGTTCTCCTTCTCAGCACGGCGAATGGCTTCGTCTGCTCTTCTTCGTCGCTCACGCTCACGCTCCTTCTCTCGGAGTTCTCGGGCATACTCCTTCTCTCGCGCTCGTTCCAACTCTTTCTCCCTCTCCCTCTCTTCGCGCTTTGTGGTTTTATCTTGGTAAGACTTTTCCCTTCTCACAGTTCGGACTCCCTCAAAGATATCAGCTGCGCGAGGATGCTCATCCTCATAAGAACGCGAATATGAGGAATAGCCCCGGACGGGCGATGGTTGTCGGTCCGTCTTGTATGTGCGATCATTTGTGCGGATTTCGTATTTATATGTTGTAGATGTAGGTGTAGGTCGACTTGATGAGGGGCTCGCGGTGGCTGAAGCAGAAGGGCGACTTGCTGCGCTCGCAGCGGTCTTTGCCCGCATCTGCTCGCGAAGTTCTGCTAACCGGGCCTGGTCATCATAGCGTTTTCGCGCCTTTTCGTCGGCCAATAATTCGTAGGCAGTTTGAACCCTTTGAAACTCGTCCTGCTTCTGGGCCTTTAATGTTGGGTCTTGGACCTTATCGGGGTGGCACTTGAGAACGAGCTTTCGGTGCGCAGATCGAATCTCGGGTAGTTGCGCATCTTTGGCAACACCCAAGATTTCGTAAGGGTCAGGAGTTGATGTAGACATATTGGGCGGTTTGCTTTCGACCACTGGTTGGGCTGGAGTCGAGTATATAGATTAACAAATGGTAATCGTGAGGCTGTCTATTGCATCGATCCGAAGGTCGTCGGAAGAGCGAGGCTTTGGCGGATCTTGGTGAGGCTGTCAAGGGGTAAGGCAGGGCTGGGTGGCTGTATGTATATTAGGCCAAGTTGGGTATTCTCCGGATTGGTATTGTTGTCCAGCGATAGGAGGCGGACGCAGGATAGGTGGTCTGGGCGTTTGGGGGCGGTGTCTGCTGTATTTCTGAGTCTCGTCGCCAGAGCAAGGTGAGTGGGTGCTCGGATTTGCAGGGTACCGTAGAACCAGGCAGAAACTTGTACTCTATACTTGCAAGTGCAGTGCTGGATCAAACGAAAGACCAGAGTTGGCGGGCGAGGGGGAAAAAGAAAAGGAAGAATTTATTTACGTGAGCAGCCGGCTGCTGAACACGAGAGAAAGTGACGATGTGAATATTTGGTGGTGTTGTTTGGTTGTTCACGTCCACAGTGGAACAGAGGAACAATGCGGGAGAAGGAGACCAGCAGTCGTTGGGGTATTGACTATTGAAGAACAAGAGCCAGATGAGGTCACGGGCGAAAGCGTGGCTAGCGACAGGGGAGAGTGATTCGTTGGTACAAGGGTCGATAGTGAGAGACGGCGGACAGGGAGACTAGAGTCGACGATCAGACGCCAGGTAGTAGGGGGTCCACGACTCTGGCTTGCTGGAGGGTCGCCTTCTGGCTTTTGGGGGTGCCGGTCAGAGCGGTCCACCTGTGTCGTCTGGTGGTGCGTGGTTCTGAGCTGTTGCTAGTGGTCGCTGATGGTCCAAGGTGGTCCCCTGAGGGGTGCTGTAGAGTGTAAGCGGCCGTAGATGTGTAGGTACTTGTTGGTCCCTCTTTGAGATGGAGTCGGTCCCGTCGTGGTCTGGTCTCGCTGTAGTGGAGTTTGTGAGTCGTGACTTGGTTATGGGACTCGAAGAGTCACTTGGTCTGATGAATTTGACCGAAATACTCTGAATAACTTGGTTTTAAAAAGAGTCAATCAGGCAAGTTGGAGTCTACTAATCAAGACAAATGGATTGACTCGCGAGGCGTGTATTTGTAACGAGGTGGTTGGGTGTTTTCTCAGCTGTAACTGGAAGTACCTCTTCTGTGCCAAGAACTTCCTGCCTGAGGTTCTGGTTCGAGGGAAAAGGGTACGTATCTCTTGGTGGAGTGAGCAGAATCGGTTTGCAATAGAAGATTGGAAACAATTGGGTGAGGGGATTCCGTCCCTTGCTCCAAATGGCAAAGAATCAGGAACGTGGCGAATTGATTTTACTTTAATTCTGATTCTGAAGCCCGTAAAGAGACTTGAAAGAGACTTCACGACTTTAAAACTCGCCCCCTTAGCCTCCTTTCGAGACGCGGCGATGGCGATTTATCATGAGCTGACTAGCAGCTCCAAGTGAACTGACACGCCGGAGCGAGATGCTTGGTAAGGGATTTCTCTCTGCAATGCGGCGTCGGACGAATAGCGTAGCGTAACAGCGATGGAGAATGCTGCTAGAAAAGCCGGCAATGGAAGGGCATCGAATGCCTCTGAGAGTCCCGTCCAGCCAAGAGCAGACGGGAATTGCTGGCAGCCCGCACTTATACCGGGTTAGTGAGAGGTCCGCCGGCCGTTAGTGGTCAATTGTACGGCCTCCTAGGGCCTTTGCACTGAAATGGCTCGCTGGCAGACCTGATTCAATGACAAGTGGGCTTGTGGCGCTGTTTGCAAGAGGTACGCGGTCTTACGAGTCGAGACACGTCGAGGTACATGCGTCTTAGTGGCGAGGTCTACGGAGCTAAGTGTACCAGGTTTGGTGAGTCAGGTTATCGCTCAAGTACCGCTCTCACTGTTTCACTGCGCGAAATGGCTGAGAAAGCGGCCGCGGAGCGCGATGAATCAGTGTGAGCCGAATAACGAATAACGGATTGAGCATGATTATGATTATCTTTTCAAGGATGCAGGGTCAGATTCGGTGTCGGATTTTAGATCAATTACTGGATTTGAGTAATCTCCATGTCCGAAAGAATCTATCCGTAATTCCCCTTGAATAATCAGTCTTAGGAGAAGGCGATTCCGTAGTGGTGTACGAAAATTCGGTACCTGATTTTTCGGTTGCACAAAGCTTACAACCAAAGTACCTCTTTAATTGAAGTGGCTGGTAGTGGCGAGTAAGACCCTTCAATTGAATCTTTCTCTTGAGATCCAACATGAAAGCAACCTCGGGGCCCGCGGTAGCTCATGAAAGCTGATGAATTGCTTGTACGGACGTCGTAAGAATGAGCCACAATGTTCATGTATGATGAGGTGAGGCATCCGATGCTCCGGGTCTCACCAGATCATCCATCGTCAATTCAGGGTCCGAGTGGAGATGTCACAACAAAGTTCCCACGTTCCATTGATCAATCCGACGACTCCGTAAACTTTCTTTGTATGTAAGTATCAGCCCAGGAACATCCTGACAATGCAATCGGCCCAGCAAAAGCAACATCAGTTCCCATGATACGCCTCAGGCGTTCATCAACCCCCGTGATGGAACGGGTCCTCTAACTGCAGACCTGGCCTGGCATCACGGAGCCCGATCTGTAGCTGAGAGATGCCCAGCGGGAGAGATGGGAACGGAAGCGGGAGGGAGCGGGACGAAGCCAGAGGCGGTGAGGCTGATGACTGGCGCGTCTTCTCTAATTAAGCAACCAAAAGCTGTATCGAAGCCAGCTGAAAAACTTACACGAGGCGGTGCTGAGCGAGAACGATAGTTTCTATTTCAGCACTTGAAGCGAGGCTGAATATCTAATGATTGAAAATCGTCTCCATGAGACTAAGCAAAGTAGAGTAGAATACCCCGATGCTAAGGCAAACTCGACCCCAAAGTGAAGCTCCTAAAGCCTCTCTCAGATTGGATAACCAAAGTGCAAACATACATTGCCCAAACAACGACATATCACTTTTCAACAGTCGATAAGTTCTCTCGCCCCATCCCATTGGATCACCAACATCTATGGGCTGACTGGCTTGCTCCTCGTTGGGCTGAACACCGCTGAGGCCATCTGGGCATGAATTGCAAGACAGCATCATGCCTGCACCAAGAACGATGGCATGAAGTGCAAATGATTTCTCCCACCACGAGAACAAAATGTTAGATCGTCGATCAATTACTCGGTGTGTAGAGCTCTAGGGATCGACGTCTTGAGCTCTTAACAACTCTGGAGCTAAGAATAAGCCAAGCTCCCTAGCTATGCCCTGGTGATGTTCGGAGAATACATGCGGTCAATTGCTTCAAGAAACTTGCATGTAATCGCCATAGCGACCAAGCATCCCATGAGCTTTTTAGCTTGATGCTCAGCTCGCTTGATCAAACGATGCAGCTAGAAGCTCCAGCAAGGTACGCATACCATCTCCACGACGGGTTTGTTACTCTGGTAGCGCGCGATTCTATTCATCGGTCTAGTGAAATAGGCGACCTGCTGCAGCAGATATCCCTGAATAGAGACCCCTTGTGGTGCCGGATAGTGATAGTGGGCGCAGACCATGGCATCACGAGGCCTGCATTTCCAAGTTGCACGACGTCTCTAGAGTCTCGCTTCACCCCCTGCAGCCCGCTCTCTGTGGATACAGAATCTCGTTGCTATGGCTTTTTGATCAATGTCCTGGAGACTCATGATAATAAACAATAATGAGTTAGAGAATGAGATATTCGGTGAAGGGTTAAGAGACACTGAGAGAGATGCCTCCACAGTTAAGATACCCCCACGATGAGCAAACCACGGGTGAAGTACATGTGGAGTGATAGCTTCATGAGCAGTATCATGATTCGGATGCTACACCAGCCAGACACACGAGCATTCCTGCAGAAGGCTTCTCTATGGTCTCCTCATCCGATAGGAGATGGACCTGCAGAGAGGTAGTGGGCACAAGCTGACAAAGACCAATTAACCAGTGAAGAAATGTCCAAAGATGGTGGTGAGGGGCATTCTGTTTCTCTGCATGACACCATCCAAGGAAAGACTCGAGTCCTACGGTGCTGCAGAATCCATCACATCCGCCTATTTTTTCCCACTCATAAGCGCCTGTGTGACGAGCTGTGATGAGTGAACGAACCACACATCACCTTCTTTTCACTACAAAAGTTAATGATATTCTTTCCATTCCCGATGAACGATGAAATAGTCAGATGCTCCCCAGATCAGAGACTCGTGGTCATCAGTCATGGCCCAGAGCCGTTGGGCTGAACAAGGACAGAAAAGAAGGCCTGATGTCTAGCACGTGATTGGACAGTTCTCCCCATCTCGGGAGAGGGCGGGGCCGCCAACGGGCTCTTCATCTGATCACATCTCTGTGATATGCCGACCAATCAAGATAAGCATCTCTGTCTCTAAATGAGGGCTTTTTCCAAATGGATTGTTCAGCTCTAGGCTAAATCACACATTCCACCATATGTCAGTAAGATCAAAGATCAGCTCAGCACGCGTAATACTCTCCAGGTCTCCGTATCTGGTCAGGTTACAGCCGGGCATCTGAACAAACAGAAGACCAACCTGGGGAAGACAAGCCCAACCAACGGCCACCGCCAGAGCGAGCGAAACCAAGGGAAGATCATCGACAGTTTTGTCTAGGGGGTTGCTTCCTAACTGAGTAAGGAGCGTGGAAGGGGCACGTCTCTGATAGGTATAGCAGACGGCAACAATTGATAAAAGACCCTCCTCACGAGAGCTATCTAGCCATCTCGAGGCAAGGCCGGTGCTTGAATCTGATCGCAGCATGTGGCTTTGAGGATCACAGGCCTGGGCTTCTGGGCTTATCCCTGAGGAGAAGCGCCAAAGTACCTCTTTGTTGCTGCTTACTGCGTAGAGCTACAAGCTGAATGGGGGATGAAATGTGAGTGGCAGCAAGGTTCTAGAAGAGTTCTGCCTCTGAAGCTTCAGACAATACAAACATTGAATTCCTGTTCAACGACAGTCATTGCGAGACACGCCGTCGTTCTCGTCTCTCAAGCGCAATGACATACAAGACGTACCACGATCATACGGTTGACGTTAGGGGCAGAAATTCTAAGTGTGTGGCCCGGCACGAGTTCCTTGACGTTGTTCGGTAGCTTGCGATGGAGGGCCACGCACCACGTGGGTGTGTTCTTTACCAGACGTCAAATTCTTGGATCCGGCTTTTTTTGTACTGTCAAGATCAAGTTTACAAGTTTTGGAAAGACAAAGCTGGATCATTGACGATATCCACCATGTGAGCCCAAGAATGTTCTATAGGTATTTGTGTAAACTTGATCCATCTGGCACCAACTCTACAGCTCGATCGATACCGATACCCTTTGACGATCCCGCGATTGGCGATGTCATGACCCCTCACACGCGTCTAGTTAATGACCTCCCAACTCCAGGGAACATCCCGCCAGCACCTGCGTCGGTCAAATGCCTCACGAGCCTGTACCTGGAAAGATCATCGTCTGCCATGTTTTAATTCTTTTGCTTCTTCCCGAGCGGTAAACGCGGGGTTGAACTACCGTACCTGATCTAGTCTTGTAAATTTATCAGGCTCAGGCTCAAAAGAGACAAGAATCCTTGGCTTCGCCGCTCCCAAGATAGAAAAAACACGGGGCAACTAAGCCACGCTATTGGGCTGAGGGTATCACGACGAAGACTGGCGGTGAGCAGGAATGAAAGTGAGGATATGGCGCCCCTCTTGGCGGAGCCCTGTTGGCTCCCCGCAGGATCAGGGCTCAATTGGTTTGTTTGTTTGGATTGGATCCCTCTTTTGATTCTGTAACTCGGACGACCATAGATGAGCAAGGAGAGGTTTTGGTTGATGTCAATGCTATAGGCACGTGGAGGATTATCATCGGATTAGTCTGGTTTCATCTCTCAAGGGATGAGATTTCTTTGTCTCCTTGGCGTCTCAATGGGAGGGGAATGGCTTCACCGTAAGAACGAGTAGATGCCGGCTACAGTATTGGTGGGAAAAGGATGTGACTATCTCATGCGACTGATCCTCCCCTGATCTAGATGGCTTGATACTCGAAGTCTGACGAGAGTTGATCGTGGGCTCTGGTCTAGGTCTAGGGTAGCTATCCAAAGGACGTCACCCCAAAGAAACGACGCGACATTGTAGTACATTGATGAGAACAAGGTTTCAATTCAATTGAAGGTTTAATTAGCTCTCACTCCTCTGCCCCTCGAATGATCATTGGTACCACGTTCATGTACTACGACTGCATTACAGTTCATCCGTTGGATCCGACTACGACTCGAAGCTACCCAATGTTGGTTCACGACGAATACCACTACATCGATCCATCGCATACCGATCCAGCATAATGCAGAAGGTGCGTCACAGCGTAGCAAACATATCAGTAGCTCACAACCATCTGTAAACTTATCAAGAAGCTCTCGCTTCGTCTTTGTTTGAGGCCATCTCTCTCTTCCCAACGTGGTTCGTTGGGCACCAACACGAGCATGAGACCATGAGTCTAGGGTAAGCCAAGAGCGAATCACGGGCCTTCGGTATTGCCCTCGTCCTCCCAGATGGGGAGATCTAGGTCTACTACGATGGGCTTGTTGAACTGTTTCCCTCCTATGTGGGGATATCGACTCTTCATAATCGCTGCGTTCACCACACACGTCTCTCGACGACCCATCCTCCCAGCGAGAGCTGCCTGGTCGCTTCGTGGTGAGCCGGGATCCCCTCCCAATCCGATAGTACCATGAGAGGCGTGTACATCAGCAGGGCCAGATCCAAAGGTGTATGGAGAACTTCCTGCTGAGTCAACAGAATGAGGAAGGTCCGTTACGTCACGGGCTCCTATACTTGATCCATATCGACCTGGATGGGAGCCATCGTTGGCAAGAGTTGGAGCCTTCTTCCCAGTCAGATCTATGAGGCAGGTTTTGTTATTGCCTTTGCCTGGATCTTCCCAGCGCACGACACTCTCTTCTTGATAGGCGACATTCCCACAACTGAGATCCCATATCACTCTCTCAGCACCTCTTCCGTCATGAATGTGGCCACAGACAGCAAGCTGTGGTCTCACTCGCCAAAGCGCCTGCCGAAGAGCTTCGCAGCCAGTAGCTCGACGTTCATCCGTCTCATCGCAATGCGTCCTTGGAGGCGTGTGTGTCACCACAATATCCGCATCAAGTGGTATAGACTGCCAAAGCGGCGTCAGATCTGACCAATTGCTGGGATTTTGAGGAGCATCATAGTAAAACGCCCATAACCCGAAACGTGGAGAGTACGGCGATCCAAAGACCTTGAACTGGGTACGCGGCCCCGAAGGAGATTTGAGGTGGACGGTAGCTGATTCGTGAGAGAGGTACGTTATCGAAGGCGAAGACGTGAACAATCGTAGACACTCGTCATGGGACTGTGGGTTCTTGTTGTGGAAGTACAGGCCATGCTCAGCGTAGAACTTTGGATCCAGAGTGAGGTCATGATTTCCTGATGGTTACAGAGTTAGAGGCTGCTATACTTTCCCATGAGGAGGCATACCAGCGATAACGATTTTGGCCTCAAAGTCCTGCTTCTCCAACCAAGCGACCGTCTTGGCAAGCTGAAAAAGATCAGCTTCAACCTTTTGTACGACCATTGGGAGCATATGGGCCATAACTACAGACCTCTGCGTGACTCCCCTGGTTGGTCAAATCTCCAGCGTGAATGAGAACATCACCCTTTGGGAGCTTGACCTGGCAATTGTGGGTATCTGATATACACACAATTCTTGTCCTTCTCCTCATGACAGCTGCCATGGCGTCGACGGAAGTGGAAATCGTTTACTCCAACGTTGAATTGAACCCAAGAATTTGGTTGACTTTGTCTAAATTCAGGAGCCGAAAGTGTAATCGCTAGCGTTTGTGAGGAATGAGTTTTGATGGATACCATCAGCCATGCGATTGCGGAGTTGTCTAAGACACTTCTTGGGCTTTTCAGAAAATGGAAGACAAGCTCATGTCAAGTGGTTGAGATTCTGACTGCAGGGGAGATTAGTGCAGTTCTGAGACGGGAGTGTCCGTCCAAAGCACGTTTTGAAGTTTCTTTGTCGTTCCTGAACTGAATGAGGTTCAACGTCTCGTCTCGCTTGTGCCGGGAATGCGAGGATGATGTGCAGGCTGCAGTGCAGATGGTGGATCAATGAATGGAGGCTCGCTCAACACCAAATCAAGGCTGAAAAGTATTATCGCAGCGGATAACTGTCAACGCCAAAGCACAGACAACCCGCAGGAATAAACAAGGGATGATGGTTCGGTGTATAAGCCAGCAAGGAAAAAGAATGCTACGTAATTTTAATAGTGACGGAGGCTGCGATAATGAACCGAGATGTTGGAGAAACAAGTGCCGTTGAGTTCTGTGGGACCGACTCAAAAGAAGAGTACAGTGCACAGACAGTGCCCCGCTAATGAGCACAAGAAGCACTAAAAGGACCCTAAATGGTAACCTCTTCACCTTGTGGCGGCCAACTTCTCCCCGTCTTTGCCTGTTATTTTCTTGCTTTTATTCTTTGATCTCTTGCAATGACTTCATCTCTGAGGTATTCCACGGAGATTATGACGTTTAACAGTTATTGTTTTTCGTTACATCTTTCCCCCTTGTACTTAATGAGAAACTTAAAGCTTTGACAATGCATTGATTCGTAGGTGCTAATGCATCCCCTGTCGATGGATGGACAGGGCAAGCTGACAACGTTCCATTCCCAGCGCAACGGGCCAGGCTCTTGGAGGGAAGCTAATCTCGGTATCAACTCTTTGAGTTAGGAGAGGCCGATTTCTCATATCAGATGAATTATAATAACAGCAGGGCACGATGATTTGTTGCGAGTTTGTATCCGTGTCTATTCCCAATGATGAGTTTCGTTTCTAGTGCATGATGCGTGACCAAGCAATTCCTTGCTTCACAGGTGAGGAAAAGCAACAAAAGACCCAGCCTCATCAAATGAGCCCCTGTCAGTGGCTTCTTGTACCCTGGCGCGGCTTATTTTCATCAGGGGAAACGTTGATTTATTCCCTTCCACTCGCGAGCTTCTCCCTTTTGCCCATTGAGCAATCATCATGAAACAGCCGGCGGCGGCAACTAAGGGGACCGGGCTTACCGCAGACTGTATGACGGCCTGGGGGTCGTGTGTAATTGAACGAATGCTTTTATCTGAGCTTTTCTTTCATCAATGCCATGGATATCAGTGGATGGTCTGTGATCATTGCACATGAAGCGTGGCGTAATCATGTCTCCTCATTCGTATTGGATAATGGTTCTAGACTTGTGTGCACCTTTTGTAAGTCACCCACAAGAACGACAAACAAGCTCTAACCTGCCTTGTAAGAAATGTCTCTCCATCATTCAAATTCATATCCCATCTGAAGCCACATGAGCTTTCCTTCTCCCTATCCCTGTCATTTCACAGCTGTATTTCCGTCAAAGCCCACTTAGAGCTCGCTGATTCCGTACAGGGGGCTTACAGGGGATCTAGCTCGGCTGAGGGGCCGTGCAGGCGCAGGCGCAGGCTTCATTCAGGTGCTGCCCGCCAACACAGTGTCAATTTCAATCTACCAGCCTAACCAACCAGCCCCCCTCATGGAAATCTCCCATGGGTCATCTTTCTTTGTCTTCTTGTTCTGCCCTCTCTTCTATGTAAAGCTCTCTCGGAGCCCGACGCGCCTTGATCGCCCCAGCCATGATATCTTTGTGACGACGATATCTTGATTGTTGGCCGACCCAAGGTCTATTCCATTATTCCATCCACCAAAAGTTATCTTATCGACTTCTCTTCGCCATCTAACCGCCCCTTTATCACCGGATCTTTCGTTACTCTTTCCGACCCGCATACGCACCGCCCCTTGCGTCTATGAACAATACCTCTCCTTTAATCGATAGTTGCTACATCGAATTCCGGTAGCATTGACAACGATATCATTCGACTTTCGATCATAAACATCTTAAAACAAACGCCGTTCGTTTGCCGCCCTCCACGCGTCCTCAAATCACTTATTTCTAGAGGTCGCGGGCGCCATCAATATGGCCACAATGGCACCCGCACCGACCTCAACCGAGAATATTACTCCGCCGCGCAGTAGTCATGGTCATAGAGACTCGTGGGGATACAACATGCCCCAGAAAGAGGTACGAAGCGTGGGAGTTGCCACATGATGGCTGCTACCCCAACTTTTGTCGGGGCGAGGTTGCTGATGATTTGCTAGGATTTTGATAATGACATGAACGCTGGCACGAACCATGACTACCCTCAAAAGAACCATTTTACTGCCCAAAATGGTAACTCGAACTCTTACCACTCTGGCATGGACCGAGTTGGCCGAAAAGTGAACTCGCACGATAATCTTTCGAGTGCCAAACTTCACAACTCTGTCGACGGAGCTGGAGCGCGCTACATTAGTGAATCCAAGACGAGTCCGGCTTTGAACGGTAACTCTTGGGGACAAACCTTTGGCCCCCAGACCGAAGACGAATACAGCCGCAATGCCGTACCTATCGACCGAGAAGTAGTTGTTGTTGACGAAGGTTCCAAGTGGATTCACCGTGACAAGCTGGCAAGGATAGAGAGTGAAGAGCTTCAAGCTGCAGGCATATTTGTCCCGAGAACCCGCAACCACAGCAAACAACGACGAGACCGAAGCCGCAGCGCCATGCGCCGTGGTACTGACGCGTCGGAGAATGGCCCTAGATCCCGAAAGAACTCGACAGCTGTTGAGGGACGAAACCCCGAGATCGCAGGCGAACCGTGGGATTTACGTACCCCAGAAGAGATTGCAGAGGAGGAAAGCAATGCTTATTTCACTTCAAACACCCACAAAGGAGGCTCTCGCATTCCTGTTGCCAAGGTTAGTCCAGCGCCCATATCTGTTGATCGTTTCGAGCGAGCATCGAGGAAAACGAGCGAGAGCCCCGACGATGAACGGACTTTGACAAATGAAAAGACTCGACCTGGAAGCGCGCACATGGCGAAGGGATTCGACGCCATGTCGATCAATAGCAATCTCAACAATAGTTTACCCGCGCCGAAACGAACCGCCACCGATACTTCGCCCAAGAAGGCTGCGACGGGCCCAAGAAAGACGTCTGGTCCCTCGAAGACGGGCACTGCAGCGACGGGACGACCGAAGACGAGGTCTGGTTCTATTGGAAACAGCATCTCAACTCGACCTTCGACCCGATCTGGAGAATTGTCACCAGGAAATAAGGCGCCTGAAGGCGATCCTCCATGGATGATCAACTCGTACAAGCCCGATCCTCGACTCCCTCCTGATCAGCAACTCCTCCCGACTGTGGCCCGACGCCTACAACAGGAGAAGTGGGAGAAGGAAGGAAAGTTTGGCGATGTCTACGACAAAGATTTCCGACCGCTCAATGACAATGAGCTCGGCAAATCGGATCAACCTGACCAGGCGGACAAGGCTGAAGAGACCGACGAGAAGCAACGAGAAACATCGCCACCCGAGGGCGAGTGGCCGCTCAAGCTGGAGCCTACAAAGAGCCCAACTCAACGCGCTGGCGGATACTCTACTATGCCCAAGATCTCGGACAAGCCGCAGAACAGCCCACTTCCAAGTCCAAGAACACCTCTTTCGCCCAATGCACCCAACGCACCCCAAGCGCCAGTGGAAGAACAATCGAAGCCGGAACCGTCTACTGAGCGACCAGTACAACAGCACCCGCAACAACCACAACCCGCTGAAGATGACAGCAAGGGTGGCTGCGGATGCTGTGTGGTCATGTAAAGACTTGGCCTTTACCCCACCTGCCCATGGTCGACGGAACCACGAGATCGAGGATACCCATTCCCTTCCCTACGTGTCTGACAACACTTACGACGTAACGAATTTCCTTTACAATCTGCTTGCATTCAGCCATTGTGTTAAACCGTATCATACCAACTCAGCCTGCTATCTCTTTAGCGACGCAACTGCCATTCCCTTTGTCACAACTTTAGCGATCCGTTCCACCCCATCCGGACCAAAGATAGCGACCTTGTCACCGAGACACAGCTTCACTCGTGGAAAGGTTAAGCATTCACCGACCTGACAGGCTCAAGCAGTAGGCTGTCTGAGATCTGGTGATGTGAGAGATACACGTCTTTCCCGGAGTGCTTCATTATTTGTATTTAATTATCGGCGTTTGAGCTTTGTGTTTTGCGTTTTGATAGTTGAGTGGTTTTGCCGTTAAAATGGTACTTCTTGTTATATTCTTGCCAAAGGAGAAGGGGACATGAACTGGAGCGGAATGATAGAAGTGATGGGCCTCGTGGTGGGATTTACTCTGACTTTGAGTGAGTGAAAGTCTGGGTGATGCTGGTGTGAGTTAGTTCCAGCGACTGGAACCTGCTCAGTTATCTTGTTATTGGAGATTTTGGAGAGCGAAGTTGAGTGAATCAATAACAGGACGTTAAAATTATTGGATGTCGTGCTGTGTTTGTGAGTAAGCTCACACAGCTTTTGCTGTTCCTGGGATCTTTGAGTGATATATGCCAAGGAAGCTTGAATCAGTATTCATCACGATGTTGCAAAAGTCTATGTCTGGTATGAAGATTGAGCATCTCAAGCTGAATATCAGGCAACATACATTGAAACAATTTATTCCAAGGAGATGTCACCCAAATATCACCAAGTTGCCCCTCAGCTTTGAAGCTTTTTCGGAAAACCCGGTCTCAAAAAACGCCCACAACGTCATCATTACCCTTTGGCTGTACGCGTTTCAATCGGGAGATCGGCACTTTGAATTCGCGTGAATTCATGCAGTTCTCATTATTAAAACGAAGAATTATCAGGGAATTGCGTACGGATAACGGCATTCCAGAAACGGGTAATTCGGATCTGATGCGATGCGGTAATGCCCGCGTGTGGGGTTTGTCTGTTAGTTTACTCCGTATGATTTGCATCATCGAGATGGTGACGTAGAGTGAGATCTGGGTATGGGGTATTTATATATAGATGGAGAGACCTCTTGGAATTTTCTTGGCATTTGGAATTCACTTACATGGTTACACTTGCTTCAGTGTAAAATATCATCAGTAACAATGGTTCATCAGCACGGAGATCACCATAAAATCCCCCCCAAGCACCGGATTCACAAGTAAAACCTACACTCCCAGCCACGACATCACCATGCACTAACACTTGCAGACCCGGAGCATGGCTTCCCGCCGACCACCGCGTGCACAGAGAGTACATGCGCCGCGTCACAAAGCACGCCGATGAGAACCCCAAAGAGCTCGTCCCCGTTCTCCAAGAGTTCAAAGACTTTATTGAGAAGACCCCCCGCGTGTACATGTACTTCATGCAGATGTTTGAGGAGATCCCCCAGAAACATCCGTATCAGAATGATCCTACTGGTACACCTCAGTTGAGAGACTATCAGCAGATGCTGCAGGTGCTCAATCATATTTTTAGCACGGCGCCAGAGTGGACGGATGCGGCAGAGAGTGTGGGGATGGTAGGTGTGCCGCTCTGTGCGATCTTTGACTATCCTATGGGAACGCCTAGGTGAGTTTTATGAGGGATGAGATTGAGAGGGTGAGTGCTGATGAGGGTAGTGGTTATGCGGCGTTTTTGGATCCTGATGTGAACCGGATGCTGAAGAAGGTTCTCAACCACTGGGGCAAGTTTCTTATGGTATGTTCACCCAATATGAGTTTCGACAGTTGAACTGATGATGGTAGACGCCCAAATCGGCTGAGGTTCTGGGAGACCACAAGCAAGGCTGGTTTGGCCCAGTAGGCCTCAGTGATCTCGTCGAGGTTGCCAACAAGCCCAATAAGACAAACTTCAAGTTTGAAGAGGTCTTTGAGTGTGATCCGTCCGCTAAGTACTACGGCTACAAGTCCTGGGATGGTAAGTCAACAACATCACTATACTGAACAACCGCTGATTGATGTCCTTAAGACTTCTTCACTCGTAAGGTCCGCGACAGCGCTCGTCCCGTCGCTTCCCCAGATGACAACCTCGTCATCGCCAACTGCTGCGAATCACGCGTCTACAACATCGAACACGATGTCAAGCTCCGCGACCGCTTCTTCGCCAAGGGCCAACCTTACTCCATCCTCGACATGCTAGCCCACGATCCCCTCGCGGAGAAATTCGCCGGCGGAACGATCTACCAAGCCTTCCTGTCCGCCCTCTCCTACCACCGCTGGCACTCTCCCGTCTCTGGTAAGATCGTACGTGCCTTCGTCCAAGACGGTACGTATTTCAGCGAGCCTCTCTTCGAGGGTGTAGGTGAACCTGGATCGACTGAGATTTCGGCTGCGGGATTGTCGCAGAGTCAGGGATATTTGAGTGCGTTGGCGACGAGGGCTATTATCCTGATTGAAGCTGATGAGCCGGCGATCGGACTCCTTGCGTTCATTGGTATTGGTATGGATGAAGTTAGTACGTGTGAGATTACCGTTAAGGAGGGACAGCATGTCAAGAAGGGACAGGAGACGGGTATGTTCCATTTTGGAGGCTCGACGCATTGCGTTATCTTCCGCAAGGGCGTCAAGGTTGAGGGATTCCCTGAGGTCGGTAGGGAGGAGAACGTGCCGGTTCGAAGTCAGCTGGCTGTTGTGAAGAAGTAAAACAGATCTGCGGATGAGACAGGTAGTCGAAACAGAATATATTACGCTTGGTTTATGCTGTCATTATTTATTTCTTCGCATCCTCCTTCATACCAGCCTGGACCCAAGCCTTGGATGCACTAGCCTTAGCTTCAAGTTCCTCCTCAGTCATCTTGAGCTGCTCAAACGCAGTGTGGCGCGTGGGAACATGACGACCAGCCTCGAAGCCGGGACGCTCAAGGAGCTTGTAGAGCCATTTCTCGAGGTGAGGAAACTCAGAGAGATCAACACCAGCCCATTCTGTTGGCTGTTAGTAAATGACGGTGATGATTGAGAGAGAAGGGAGACTTACTTGCGCTGGAGACCCAGCCCCAGATGGAAATGTCGGCGATGGTTACCTTGTCGCCGACGATGTAGCCGGATGATGTCTGGGAGAGATGAGTGTCGAGGGTGCGGTAGAGACGGCGGGTCTCGTTGGTGTAGCGGTTGATGCCATACTCAATCTTCTCAGGAGCGTAGCCTGCAGTGTGTCAGTATAGTATCATTGAAGACAATGGTGAGAACATACGCTTGAAGTGGTTGGCTTGACCCTGCATGGGACCGAGGCCACCCATCTGCCACATGAGCTGCGAATTGTCAGTTACGATCTGATGGTATGAATGAGAAAACTTACCCAGCTGGTCATCTCCCAATGCTCAGCAGATCCATGAGGGAACGAAAGCTTATGATCCTTATCATAGCGATCAACGAGGTACTGCAACATAGCACCACTCTCAAAAACGCGGATCTGCTTGCCGTCGAGAGTGTCAGTTAGAGCAGGGATACGACCGTTGGGGTTGATCTTGAGGAACCACTCCTCCTTCTGCTCATTCTCGGTCATCTTGATAGGATACACCTGAACTCGTTAGTGTTGTACGCAGGAGTGCGAATATTGAGAGTTTACCTTGTACTCAAGGTTAAGCTCCTCGAGCAGAATGGAAGGCTTGATGCCATTGGGCGTGTTGGTGGTGTAGAGGGTGATGTCGGTCTTGATCTTTTGAGCCATTGTGAAGAGTTGTTTTCCCAATTGGGTGATACGCGATGTCATAAATTTTGAGAGTGTAAATATGAGAATTGAGCTTGGAGGAGGGGAAAGACACTTTATAGGATGTTATGAGGTTACAAATACTACATCTGTAAAGCTACGGCATAGTGAGGGGTTCGGTTTTCTGGGGATTGGATGGATTATTCATTGTATAGCTGGATTTGGCTTGGTAATCCGAAGTTGGTGGAGGTTGAACCCACATTGGACCAAGGCCATTGCGCGATTGTTACAACAGTCTTTGTAATCAGCCCGTCTCCGAATGCTCCATGGGGAAATACTCCAGTTGTCGCTGAGATCAAGTGTTTTATTTCTGATCCTGAAAGATTCTCTTTTACTCTGGCGTTCTGATATTGCCTGTTCTGGCAATTCACCACCAGCGTCAGCACTTTGAGTGAACCACTACACTACGCTAGGGTCATTGATGTCATTGCTCTAAACTTCTGGCTCTTCATGGTGTCCCTCCTTTGATTGGCTGAGGACTATGACAAACTTTATCACAAGGTTTTGTTCCTGAGCTGTTCACCAGATTTTCTTAACGGCAACTTATTCCCATGAACACCAATCACTCACTCTTTGACAGTAGATTTACAGAACTATATATGTCTTTTCTTAAGTCTCTAGTGCAGCTGTCAGATTCTCAGGTTCCCCATAATGGATACACATCTTGGCAAGGGAATCAGTGCCTCGATTGGCCCCACTTCGGCTCCGGACACCAAACGGCCGTTGTAAGCCGTACTCCGATAACTTATAACCCCGTGAAAACATAAACGGAGTGGAAAGGGATTTCCAAATAAAGTTTTTGGAGACTTGTTATGTATTAGCTAGATGCTACACTTAGTATAGGGCTCTTAGCACTCAAGGCATTGTCTTGCCTCAAGTATAAGACCCTCTTCAGGCGTCCGTGGATGCCTTGAGCTTTGCAACTACCTGCAAGGACGTTCACAAGCTAGTCACAAAGCAAATTTATATAAGAGACGCAATGGACAACCACTCGGCAGCACTGTTAGTATCAGCCAAGCGCAACAAACTTGCTGGCGCGACTCGAGCCCTCAGTTCGGGTTCGAACATCCACTCTGGCGATACGACCGAGACAGTCACCTACTACACCACCGGGCCAAACGCTGTCAAGAAGGGCCACAGGGTTCCTGTCCACCTTGACGACCAAGCCACTGCCATCCACTGGGCTGCTTCCAATGGGTACACGGAGATGGCATCTCTCCTTCTTAACCGAGAGGCCAACCTTAACCACAGTGTCAACGTCGACGCCTCTGAATGGTCTAGCCGCCAGAGGATACCGACTGGCCAAACCTTCAAAGACTGCATCCCACTTGACTATTACCCAACCAATTTCACAAGCAGAGCTGTTGTGGATAACGCATTTTTGGGCTTGGAATGTCTGGAATCTCCGCAAGCCATCAGCACCAAATATCGATTCATGAAATTAGAGCAAGGCGTGAATCCTTTATACTTTGCTGTAGAGGGCGGCAAAATCGAAATCGCAGAGTCTCTCATCAAGGCTGGGGCTGATCTGACTACCCATACTGGAACAGGACTCAACGCTCTGCAACCGGCAGTGAGCATGGAGGGGATTGATCCGAATAGTACGGATACTTTTTGGAAAAACATTACTCCACTTTGTAAACTGCTCTCAAGAGGAGATGGCGCTACCAGTAGTCAAATTGATCAAGACTCTTGTAGAGCACGGAGCCGACATCAACCGATGGGACTTTCTTGGTAACACACCCCTCCTCACTCATCTGCAAGACTTTAAGCCGAATGATTCCGTCATCGCAGAATTTATACGACAAGGAGCCCATGTGTACGAGGGCTTCTAAGATGGTCTCGAAGTACCTCCCAGTGAACTCAACAGAGAGATCTACAATGCCATGGCAGATATTGCATTTGTTGGTCCAGGCTGCGAACCAGCGCCTCTGCCGCTTAACCACAACACTGGGATGGAATGATCTCAGACCCGGGAGGCTATATTTCGACATTTCTATATGCTCATCCACCAGACAGACACAGTCCCGGAAGCATTGGCCGACTTTCCCCTCAAGGACTGGGAGGAGTACTGGCAGAGCGCCCATTTGCCTATGTGGATGCTCCAATGTTGGGAAATCTGCCGCGAGGGTATGGCGATTGAAATTCACCTTGAAGGGAAGATGTATATGGTTAAAGCAATATCGATGATGACTTGGAAGATGAAACCTCTGGAGGTAGTGATGAAGAAGAGAAGAAGAGTATGCGATGGTCGTATTAACCACCGAAAGGTTGTCAAATTGTACGACGGAGTGTTTTATTATCAGGGAGAGAGAGAGAGGACCATGCTGGTCAACTATTATGACTAGAGTTGGGCATAGAGTTTTGGTCAACTGGCTGTATTATTGACTGATTTTAGGATGGGCGCAACGCTTTGATTTTAGATGTTGTTTGATACCACAGTTATACGGAAAGGGGCACCTGAGCACGAAACAGAAGATGATTTACTAGTGTATTTGACACCGATACTAGACCACTAAAACTAGTCATTGTGTGAAACTTGTCCGTAACTGCTAAGTGTTCTATAAGTTCTAAGTGTCGTGTCGTGTGTTATGAGTTTGACTGTGCCTTGCCAGCACTCCCACAAATATCTATCCACCTCTCAACCTCAGCCTGTAGTATATCTATCCCTTCATCTACGCGCTGCATAAATGGTTTATATGCATTCTCTTTCAGATGGACGTGCCAGACCTCCAAAAGCAATTTGTTGACATTGAGCTTCACGGCTCCAGCTTTGATGCAGTCTTGCATGATCTGAGCAGTGAAGTCATTTGTCCCATGAAGTGCCATTACTGCACGACCGTGAATTTGCTTACCAATAGATGAGAGTCTCTTGAGGTCGAGTTCTGGTCCTTTAGGGCCATAATCCCCGTGAATGTTGCCGACGCTTGGGGCGAGAATGTCGATACCTGCTTTGAGGAAGTCTTCTACCTCCTCGGGAGAAGTAAATAGGGCTTTCCCTATGTTAGGCCCGTGTTGCTATGATGAAGACTGATGCTCACCTTCAAGATCACCAGTATCAGCGATGCCATCTTCACCTCCATTGATCCGGCCACTCTCCGCTTCAACAGCAATACCCCGCTCATGACACAACTTCGTCAGTGCAGCGGTCTTAGCAAGATTTTCCTCATGGTCATAGTGGCTCATGTCGACCATGATAGAGTCGAAAGGCAAATTTTTCACAACTTCTTCGATCTGTGATACATCCTGTGCATGATCGAGATGAAGAGAGAGCGGAACGGTCGCTGATTCGATAGCTGCAGATGCTGCCCAGGCCAGAGTTGGTAGTTGTCTCAGAGTAGAGGGGAATAGAAGGATAATGAGTGGAGAACGTTTGGATTCGGCTGCTCTGACTATGGCTGTGAGATGTTCAATATTGTAACTGAGGCTTATGGTTAGTAAGAAGCGTCTCCGAATCTGCGGAAGACAAACCATATTGCTGCTAGGACACCGTAGTTGCCCTTGACCGCATCTTCCAAGATACGCAAGGTTCGGTTTGTATTTCTCAAGTTTTCAGTTGATTCTGGCATGGTTGGTTGGTACATAATGTAAGTTGTCTGTCGAGGAGGGAGGCCGTTGGATGGGGTGACATGGACATGCAACGGGGTATCTGATTTAGTCATCATAAGTTCCATAGACTTTGCATTTACCAAATTTCGCACATTCACGTGACATGAAGTTGATTAATAAATTTATGATATGCCAGATGTTCCCAAATTCGAGGTCTTATATACATCCTGTTCACCAGTTAAGAAACCGGAAAACCTACATTGTTCAACTATCTCCTTGCAATCTGCACAACCCGTCATAAACTACACAAGTGTTTGAAAGGATGTCTAATCAATCTTCCTCTAACAATTTAATCCCAGAAATTTGATTCCGTAGTATATCTTGGGTCGAAGAATGTTATAGCCCCTTACGAGAATCCTCTTAACTTGGATATTTCTGCAGATAAGCTTAGACAAGGCCATAATGCAGTAAGATGGGTTCTTGTTTTCAAGTTCCCAGCAACATTTTAAGAAGACTAGGAGAGTGTGAAAATATATGATGCAAAGGAATTGCGTATTGTGTCTTGGCATGGGAGGAGATGGTCTCCCCTGGTTCGTTTGTGTTCCATAATCCATCCCAGTGTGACCCCAGGGTGGTTCATGCGTTTGCATGGATAAGAGCTGGGCATCCGGATCGGCCGCCAAGATGATTTCATTCCCTTATTGTCTGATCGGGTCGCGAAAAGTATACGCTGGTGTCTGTGCTATTCGGCGATGGGAAGTTTGCGGTGACGATGTTGCTTGATCTGAGTCAGTAAGAGTTGAACACGGAAGCGCGTAATGCTCACAAAAGCATAAATTATCAAAGAAGGTGATGGTGAGGCAAGGATATGATTCTCCATGTGAGTAGTGTATATAAGGAAAGTTGTCTGTCATCGTGTACAAAAAGCTTCTTTGCCTACAGTAGAAAGCAAGGAGGACCTTAGATGAACAGGTGGATGGCTAAACAAAGCTAAGTCTGGGAAGGGTACCTCGAGAAGCCTACCCCAGTCGCTATCACATGAAAGTTACCGAGCACTCTCGACGCACCGTAATCTGCTTGAGCTGTTTCAAGCTCTTTGCTCAGGGTCAGGATCGGGGTTTCCCGCGCAAGGCAAGAGGATTGGCAGGGTGAAGGAACAAGAAATGATAGAACATACCTATCTTCGGATACAACGGACAGTTCGCATAACATATCACCGTGCTCAACTTGACGAAGAACCTCATGTACGCTCGAGTTTTGCTGTAGCATATCAAGAATGACATTCGCTTCCTTGTGGTCTCTTGATCGCAACAAATCGACAAGCTTTTGGTAATCCGTGTTTTCATTTTGTAGATGTTCGCAACGCTGTCGTAATTCGCGATATCTATTCATGGGTGCATAGCTGCATTCCGACCCAGTTCGGATACAGCCTTTACAACGCGGTCGACTCCCATTGCACTACGATGAACGATTAGACACCAGATTGAAGAGTATTCGAAGGACTAACTCTGATCTTTCGCTTTCGACAGGTTTCACAGGCAACCGTGACACCGACTCTTGGGTAACGCTGGAGGACAGCGCGGGGTGTAGGAACAGGCGGTAGTTCGGCGGCAGGAAGGAGAGGACGTTGATGGCCTTGGCTAAAACCAGCCATGTTCAGATAATTCTGAGGAATCGTAGTTGGAGGACGATTGGCGCGTTCTACCCTAAAAGGTATCTGTCGCGGAGAATAAGAGGGAAAACTACATTAAGACATGCAGAATACAGCTGAGTGGACGTGACGTATATCAGTACAATCTGACAATTCCCCTTGTCCATCAAAGTAAGGGATTTATCCGGGACTGTGAATCCTACCATTGGCCGCTTACTCGTTCCGCCATCATTTCAACGTCTCTGAACCATGTCAACGACCGCATATTTCCAGTCTTTCTCCGAGGAGCCCATTAAAGCCCTGCAGATTCAGCATAATCTTTAGAGCAGCCAATAGTCTCACCTCCTGCTGTACCCCTCCGCCAAAGGTGATTGGGTCCTTGACTAGTCAAACTGTAAAATGATCGTCATAATAGCCGCATGCTCTAAAAATGTGGCAGGAACCCGACATTATGACTACGAAGCGCGTTATTTTATTACCAGGGGTTATATACTTTATACAGTGAGACATACGAGCCAAGATGATACGTTACTGGTGCAGAGCTTTCGGGAGAAGCCCCCAGTGGTATCTTGGCACACCAAGCCATTAGCCCGCGGCTGTCAAGGGGGACTTAACCGCAAATGATATCTGCATTGGTACCCTGAGAAATAAAAGTGAAATACGCGAGGCTGTTCTTTACTCTGTTGTGAGTGGCAAGACCACATTTTAGACCGTTTGTGTCGCGTACAGTTCCAGGACCACATAAAACCAGCACTCCACCCCTGTCAGAATGATTAGAGACATAGAGGGTGCAAAGTAATCAGACTAGGCCTGAATATCGATGTTTATCTCATCTAATACACAGTTGAACTGTGAAGTACGTACTGCTGAGAATACAAATTGATAATCTTGCCTCAGCTCCTGATTTCAGTTACTGGATCAGGTCGAGAAAGAAAGAAAAGGCAAATCGGTCAGCACTTAACTGCCGTAGTGCATAGGCAGGGCCATTATGGACCTATTTCTTCATATTCAGATTGATATTGCTGCTAGTGTAGCGGATCTCAGGGAGACGTGGAAGATGTTGACTTTAAGTAAGAAAACAAAGCCCGGTTCAGACTTAGAGATGTATTGCGTGTCTTGGGTTATCTCTCAACAAGCTATTGTGGTTTACAAGGTCTTGCAGCCTTACAAGGAAGTGGCAAACTCCATAACCCGCCACCAGGCCAACACAAGGGGCGAATCACACAGTTGACCGTTATATAACGTCAGTCTAGTCACAGCGACCGTAAGAAATACAGAATTATTGCTGATAGCCAAGACCTGCCCCTGTCTATAAAGTTCAGGTGTACCAAGTCTCTCAAAAAAATAGAAGAAGAGAAAAAAAAACTAATTCTGGCGTCACCAGCACTACACCGCGCTTTTCCCTCTCTTCTCATAAGCCTTACGACCTACCTCCTTGAGCCGGGAGTCGTCCGGTCGAGTGAGATCAATCTGTGGCATTAGGAGGAACGCTAGCACGAATGCAAGGCTTGCGACACCTGCGCCTATAAGAAATATTATGCGGAATCCTTGTCTGTATGCTGGGATGAGAACTGAGCGGATCTTTTCGGCCTCGCTTGGTGAGACTGTGTCTAGAAATGTCTGAGGGTTGCCGAGAAGTGTCTTTGAGTCGTGTCTATCTAGGTTGAGGGAGGATAGAGAGCCTGCTAAGACGTTGTTCCTGCAGTGATATCAGCGAATGTTTGTTAGATTGGTTTCTTGGCTTGACATACAAAACTGTCCCGCAAACTGCAAGACCCAAGGTTGCCCCCAAATTTCTTACGAAACTATCAAATTTCGTCAGATTTGCCTTTGACGTACGCTATAAATCTGTCACTTACTTGCGGAATGAGGTGACAACAGCCATATCACGCCTCTCGACACCGGCTTGCGTAGCAATGAGCGCACTATCACCGTCAGTCAAAGCCCATTTAAACGTCACAATTTCAACTCACGGCTGCAGTGTATTACCGACGCCCACTCCAATAAGTACCGAATAACCAATTTGTTTCCCAACGCCCGTGTTCTCATCAAGAGTTGACATTAAACCAAGACCTATGGCCCAGGATAACCAACCAAACAGGATACACTCGCGGTACCGACCGATCCAGTGTACGATGAGCCCTGAGAAAGTGCTACTTGCTGTTTGGAGTAGTGTGATGGGGAGAAGCATTACTCCGGATTTGGTGGCAGAGTAGCCGTAGACGAGTTGGTAGAATGAGGGGATGTAGTAGACTTGCATAACGAAATTCCAGCCGTTGATAGCCATTGTTAAACATGCGCCGTTGACGATTTTTGACTTGAAGATGTGCACTAACTTGGTCAGAATGCTTTCGGTTATATGATGGGGTTTCTTACATGGTATCAATGGATATCGAGGACCTTTCCACTGCCACAGCATGAAAGCAACGGATACTGCTGTGCCCACCACTAGTGTTGCGATAACCTGAGCGGAATTCCAAGAGTACTCTTTTCCTCCCCATGTTAATCCCAGAATAACGACAGTCATCCCAGCCAAGGCGAGAAGTATGCCCAGAAAGTCCACGGCTTTGAGCTTTCTATTTGTCACGTTAGTTGGGACCCTAGCATTTGCTGGCGAAACTCACAGTTTCCAATCTCCTTCGACTTTCTTCAATGGCATGAAGAAGAGTACACAGAGCGTTGTCAAAAGAGTCAGTGGCAGTTGCATTCTAAAGATCCATCGCCATGAGTCTGCAGAACTTGACGAGAGTGCACCTCCGATGACAGGTCCGATACCATTTGCGAGAGCAACAACAGCGCCCTTGGAAACATTCTCAGTCATGGTAATACAGGCTTTGACTGTGGCGAACTCACCAGTATTCCTTGGTACTTGCCTCTCTCTCGCAGAGGGACAACATCGCTCACGATAAGCTGCGCAACAGTCATTAGTCCACCACCTCCAATACCTGTAAAAGCTCGGAAGATGGTGAGTTGTAAGACAGATTGTGCCAAGGACGAGGCAAGTGATCCGACAAAGAATATAGCAAGGCCTAGTAGGAGGATGATCTTGCGAGACCAGATGTCTGATAATCGTCCATACATGAGCTGCCCGACTGTTGAAGTTCTGATATTGTCAGCGTAGACCCGCACTCCATGTTGATGATGCTCACATGAAATATCCGCTTGCTATCCACGAGACCTGGGCTGTTGACCCCAAAGCATTTCCAATGATGTATAAACTCGTTGCCAACATAGTCTGGTCCATCAAAGCCAACAGGTCCACACTGGCACATGCGAGAAATATCTATAAAGCCGGTTAGCATGACAATGCCATTGTTTCTTGAAACGTACTGTGATGATGGCTCGCTTTGGCACGTAATTTGTCTGGTCATTGAACTCATGAGTCTTTTCATTGTCGCCTGAATCGACGACAATAGTATTTGTTGAGCCCATATCACGGCTCATGACCGCGTTAGCTTCTGGTTCACGATTTTCTGCCATTGTGTTGGGTGTCGCGACGAATCGACCTCCTGAGCGCCAAGGTGGGAGAAACCGCAGTGGGAGCTCCTTTAATCCTGATGGTAGAATGGAAGCCACCTTGACGGTGAGCAACTCCCTTTGTTGTGGCGGCGTTCAACTTTGGCTCAAACTTGCTCAGGGATCGGCGTTGAGCAACCCTTTTGGCCGAAACAAGGTTATTTTCCAGGTACACCGCTTCGACTACCGGTCAACTGCCGTATCGTGTACCTTGAGCGATGATTTCCCCTTTACTATTTTAAATGGCTTTTATGTAAAGTTAAGTCTCGTAACCTCATAAAGTATGGTGCGATTGGCTCTTAAACTGATGCAAAGGTGTCATCGCTAGAGATCGGCAACTAAGGTTGCATCAGCGCTGGTTTTGCAATTCCCAATGCTACAGCGCGGATTAAAGACGGCTCTAAAACCTCTAAAACACGCCACTATACTTTCTCATACGAGCTAATTGAGCATGTTTGCGAATATTCGCGAAAAACATGCTCGTTGATGACTATGAGGCTTTCACGATGCTCAACAGACTTTCTCACAGGCCACTCTCAACAACAATGCCTTCTTCACAAAACATGAAGGAGTTTGTTTTGATATATTTTCGAGAGGGAAACGGGAACTGATAGAAAGTCTATCAAGGTGTCTCTAGAAGTAATTAATCGGTCCCCAAATTATGGATAATATTAAGCATCTCCACCTTGAGCCGCTCTGATGGAAGACTATCAGGGTCCTTTTCTCCCAAGGCTGATACAAGCTTGCGGCAATAACCGAGGCTATTGCAAATCATACTCGAAAGAAGGAGTAAAAGTTCCTTGTGGAAGTAAGATCTGACCAATTGTTTTGTCCCTATGCATCTAATCTCATAAATGGCACCACCCTGATGGTCAATTTCTCGTACGCGCCACTTCAAGTCTTCGATGCATCATCGAAGCAAGCATCAAAAACCTTAATGACCTGCTTTACTAGTGTGCCTCTAGTAATACTTCATCACGTAAAGTCCATTTAGAGATGAAAGTCTGTCGATCAGCGAGAAATTTCTAGCAAAACACTTCAACGAGCTTCTCTTTGGGGCCACTCGACTCAGTGACCCCCATCTTCTCTGTCAAGTTACCCACGATATTCAATTGATCTACTCTCCAACGATGAAGACCTCGAAAAAAAGACTCATGCAGTCTTGTGGATATCAAGTCTTCTGATTGGTATATGGTTACACTCGAGAAAAAGATGCGTTGTTCAGTCAGACATCCCACGCTTTATGCAAAGGCCGAGCAAAGCCTACTGCCACCCACCGAACCCTTTTAAAAAGGCCGGTAAGCCTACGACACACAAGCCCTGAATCATATAGCTAGCCAACACCCAGAAAATCTGTTGCTTCTACTTCTGTAGTCGTCAAGCCATAACTCTATTCCAACATGGCCAGCCCCAACCCCCTCAACGTGTACAAAGGACAAGACTCCATCCAAAAGTACTTCGATCCAGAATCAGCACCCCCGCTACCGCTTGTCGAGATTCCCGACTCGCTTAATCCATATCGCCAAGATGGAGTGCGTATCTATGCCAAGATGATGACTATGCATCCTGCAAACAACGTCAAAGCGATGCCCGGTACGGAACCTTGGGTCAAATTTTATATGCTTAGCTTATGTGATTATAGCGTTGAACCTTCTTCAGAACTGCGTCGTACCCGGAAAGACCAAGGCAGTGGTTGAGTACAGCTCTGGATCGACTGTCCTGTCGATGTCATTGATTTCACGAGCTATTCATGGTGTTGATGATGTGAGAGCGTTCTTGAGTAACAAAACGAGTTCAACCAAGCTCCGGTTGATGCAATTCTTTGGGATCGATATGTTAGTTGCCGGCACCTCCAAGTTCATCCATTCCTTGGCTAAATCAGGTCTTGCAGTACGCTATTCGGAGGTCCATCACAACCGGAACCCCTCGACGAACGCGGTGGTATCCGAGCAGCTCAAAGACTTGCACAAGAGTCAGATGCAACCATCATAAACCCGAATCAATATGAGAACGATCTTGTAGGTCTTCAGCCACCCGCAGAAAAGAGCTAGTACTAACGTCAGAACAGAACTGGAATGCACACGTCAAGTGGACAGGTCCGCAGATCCATAAGCAGTTACCAGAAATCAACGTCATCTGTGCTGGCATGGGGACCTCGGGTATGCCAAAATATTCCCACATGTGTAACTTGACTAATGGAAGAAAGGAACTATGACTGGACTTGGCACATACTTCAAAGATGCAAAGCCTGCAGTATATCGACTTGGGTCAGTCAGAAACCCGTCGGCACGATGAACCACATCAATACTAACAGCTGCATAGTGTATGTACCGCACCTGGTGATCGAGTCCCCGGCCCTCGATCCTTCGCCCTCATGGCTCCCGTCCAGTTCCCCTGGAAGAGAGCAGTCGATCACATCGAAGAAGTCGACTCTCACAACTCTTTTTCCATGTCTTTAGATCTCTGCCGAAACGGTATCGTCTGTGGACCTTCTTCAGGTTTCAACCTTAAGGGTTTAAATCAGCTTATAGAAAAGCGCAAGGCTGAAGGTACTCTGTCAGACCTCGCTGGACCAGACGGAACTATCAACTGTGTGTTCTTGTGCTGCGATTTACCTTACCAGTACATCAATGAGTATTTTGATAAGCTTGGAGAGAGCTATTTCCCCTCTATCAAGAACGAGGTGAGTCTTGTCCTTCGGGGCTTTAATGGGGACTAACATTAGCCTAGGACCTGCTCAAAGTTGATTTGTATCGATATGATGAAAAGTGGGAGCGATCAGCATCCGAAGCCCTCGATGCATTCTTTGACGTCGACCGAGGTGCAATTCTCGACATGGTTCTTGCCGACCCCAAGATTGGATCTGTCAACACGGTCGACTTGCAAAGCATCCTAAGGTCCAAACAGGACACTACTATTATAGATCTACGCCAACCCGACGATTTCAACAACTTCCATCTACCAGGCGCTGTCAATATGCCTTTCGTTCAAGACGGCACCCCAAGCCCATTCTCCCATGCCAAGCTGTTAGAATCACTCTGGGAAAACCTTGAAGGAACTTTCAAGGCTCCAGGAGCAAATGTCCAGTCTCTTCTCAGTGGAAGAAGAGTCCTTCTCACATGCTACGATGGCGATAGTGCCCGGGTTGCAACCAGTGTTCTGAGAGCCAAGGGATACGAGGCGGATAGTATCAGAGGTGGGTTTCAGGCTCTGAACAAGATGAGACAGAGCTCAAATCAAACCCCTGTGACTGGTTCTAGAGAATCATCGCCTTGGGTGGACTTGAGTCAGGAGGCGCTGAGCGTTGGCGCATCACAGTCTGCTCGAGTTTCGTTATAGCGGGTTTCAATCAGTCTTGGCAGAGGATACCCAGTATATATAATCAAGGATAGTATACGAAGAATGACGTCCATAAATTTCGATATGCCGTACAGGGTGAAATGTTGTTAGTGATATGTAGTCTATAAGGCTCTCTCCCCATTGACAATTCGTCAAGTCGAGACGAGTAATCTCGCCATGAATGTACTGCTCAGCCGTCTAAATTCTATGCGTCAAAGGTCTCTTTATATAAATTGACATCTCTGGCACTCCCGAGGCCCTGTCAGGAGCCGTCTAGCTCACTCCCCATGCTCCAAGAACGTTCCTCTTCCCCTCACCCTTCTCTTTTCGACTTCCGTTCTCCAATTTTCTAACTCTGCTCACGATCAATCCCACAGCTATGGGCCCAATGATGGTACAGAGTGTAATAGCCCAGGTAACAATGAGGAAAATCTCTGATGACTGACCATCTGCCGCTGCACCGAAGATACCTTTGCTTTCAGCCAGTGCAGAAATCAGGTATCCAATTTCACCTCTAGCTACCATTCCAATGCCAACAATGCATGCCGGGTAGAGTGACAAGGCTTTCTCTGGTTTTGGTGTCGAGTTACGCACTTGGGGAGAAGCTTGAGATGTATCTGTGACAGTGATGGGCTCTAGAAGGACAGCATCGTGTCCTTCTCCTCCCGGTGCGGCACTAGCCTCATAGCGAGAGGATGAGTTGTCTGCGCATTGAGCACCAGGCACCAATCCTTTGGAAGAGTTTCTAAGCTTCGGTGTGAGTCTTTGAGCGAGCTGCGCAAGATTACGGAAAGGGTCTGTAAAAGACATAAGCCAAAGACCACAGGCAAGCTTAGCAAATATCATAAGGATAGTGTAGATCACGCCGCGCCAGACTATGGGACCTGTGAATAGCTTCGTGATAGGGACAGAAAAACCAATAGAGGCCTAGGATAGTTCAGTACTTGTTGATGTCGAGTGGTTCATCGGCAGACTTACAAAGAAGAAAGGCTTGAGAATGCGTTGAAGAGCGGGCTCGTAGTAATGATGGAATATCTCGGCACCCGAGCCGCCTTCCATAACTTCTGGCAGAACCCGACTCTCCGAGGCTGGCTCCTGAGTAGTCAATTCTTCGGTAACCACAGTTTCTCCTGAAGCTTCAGTCGCATTTGTGTTGGTTTCCTGAGTTTCAAGATGAGGAACATCGGAGTCCCACCAACTGATGGTTGCACCAGCTATGTAAGCAGCCAATAGACTCGAAGTGCCTGCAAAAGTCGCACCAATGACTATACCAAGAAGATATGCAGTATGAATGACAAAGGCAGTCTGGCTCATACAGAAAACCTTTGAAATTCTAGAAGTCGGATTGGCCTGTCGAAAATCATTGAGTCGAACAGTAAGAGGTAGAACGATGAATCTGCAGAGAACAGGAATGATAATTGCAAAACCAAGAGACACGACGACAGGTCTGACGACTGTGATAGCATCAAAGGCATCACCACCAAGGTTTGAAATAACCTGGACCATGATTAGGCCTATGACATCATCCATCATGGCAGCACTTGTCAAAACAACGCCGAGACGCGTTGCAGAAAGACCGCTTGTGCCGAGGATAGTAAACGTCGTGCCGAGACTGGTAGAGCACAACGCAGCACCAGCAGCAAAGGCCTGCAACGGGGTTGCGTTGAGCATAGGCATGACTGCAAATGACAGACCAATTGGAAGAAGAATTCCAGTGGTAGCCACGATAGATGAAAGACCAAGATTAGCCTTGAGAGATCTGAAAGATGTTGACAAACCACCTGTAACACGAATTAGAAAAGAAGTCTATGCATCCTAGAGATTCCATTTACCTTCAAAAACTAGAAATAAAAGACCTAGGTATCCAAGCTGCACTATAGCATCTTCAACCTCGCGAGAGAGCCATTTTGCGCCTGGTGTCCCCCAAGCTATACCTAACGCTATTTGACCGATCAGACCGCAATATGCGATTTTATCGAGGCCATAATTAATCAGACTCAAGAGAAGAAGAAAACTTGATAGGATGGCAATGATTGTTATTGGAGGTTCGTGATACGGAAGTGAGGCCTCCATTTTGCAGATGGTGATGTCGGTTCCATTTTGCTAACCTGGAGTTCAAAGCAGGTTTAGATATGCCGGAGTTTTAATTCTCCGACTTGGTTCGGGAATAAGACATGTAAGACGCCATGGTAGAGCCAAAGTACACGAGCTTTCAACCACAAACACCTACGTTCAATTTGATGAACTACTACTTTCAACAGTCATATGATTCTTATAACTCAAATGTTAGAAATATCCGTGCAGTCTTCTCTCTCTTCTCATCGTCTGACACGTCTGTCATCCTAACCAATCGCATCGTCTGGCACAGGACGGCCGCCCTACGAGTCAATATCCCTGAATGCCAAGACAAGCCAATGCATTCCTTCGCAGGGGTGAGGGATGTCGGTCGATTCTGGGTGATTTATATTTTGCCCTGGCACTTTAACCGAGCATCGTTCGTGCCTCTCGCTCACATGTTTAGCGCACCCTGAATTTCAAGTCTGCAGATTAAACAAGGACTCGTCGTTCCGGCATGAATATGAACAGTGTAATTAGTTGGTTTTTATGTACATGATCTCATTTTATACATGTGTCCTGTCCTTGGCCGCTACATCGAGACTAACAAGCTCGATATCGCTTCTATTGCTCTTCTTGTCGCTCCAGCCTCCAGTAAGCTCTGGGGAATGTGATCCTGTCCATGGGCCAGGACCGGGGTCTCCTTCTAGAGATGGTGTTTCGTCGATTTCTTCGAAGCCGCTTTGTGCTGCTCTGCGAACTGGTGCGCCGGAGGAGTTGTTTGGTCGGCCTGATGTATTGTAGTTGTAGTCGTATTTGGAACCCTTTCTCCGGAGATATGGTCGGAGAGCGGGGAGGCAGGCAATGATGAGGCCGATGAAAACGTCGAGTCCACTCCAGAGTTCTATGGTTTGTTAGATAAGCTTTACTGTGACGAGGATGTGACTCACCAATCGTTGTGATGGAACGGAAGTCTCCGACGTTTGTAAGCTGAATAGTCAGGAAGCGTGTGAGTGAAAATGCAATGTCGATTATTCCGAGAAGGAAAACACAGTAGACACCGATCTTGACCTTCTTCCGCATGTTGAGCTTATACAGAACCAACCACGGCAGAGCAAAGACTGTACAACTGTTAGCTTCGATATTACCCATCAGACTACGAGACTTACGCAAGAGACTTCCTACAAAGTGCAACGTCCAAGCAACCTGGAATGTTGTGACTAAGGCCAAGTCATCGCAAAACGGCTCCGGTCCCAAGATCGACCTGAATATGAGTTAGACGAGGAGAGCAACGACGAGAGATCTGACGTACCAGTTCCTTTGTATTGGGAAACAGAGGAATAGTTGCAGACATAGTGACACGATCAATGCACACGCGCAATAAACAACTACACTCCAGAGGACGATCCTTCTCTTGGTCATGAACGGCGGGAACAGTTGGAGGTATACGACGAGAAGGGATGCCTTGCAGAGGTAAAAGGTCACGAAGAAGGGAATGACACTAGCCCACATATACTATAACATCATCAGCTTCATGTTTCGTTTCGTGATGACGATACTCACCCGCAGTACTTTGGATAGCTTCTCTGGCGGAACATCCCAATTAACAAGGGTGTAGTTGATCTCGGGTTTCAACACATCCTCCTTCATATATATGATATCGAAAGACGCCGTAACAAATGCCGATATCCATGCTGCAACCCGTAACCAATCTGCAGCGACGAGCCTTTGCTTCTGTATGACGAGTCGTAGATAGATTCGAGCACCGATGATGGCAGCAGCCAGCGTAATAAGGCTGTAGTTCACTGCCTAAAGTGGTGGGTTAGAGGCTAATTCAGTGGGTTAACTTGGTGGGCTCGACTCGATCTTACCAACACAGCCGCGCCTGACGGCGCAGAAACCATTGTGAGACTCCAGAAGCGATTACAGCATTAAACAGAAATAAAAAAGCAAAAAAAGAGCGTTTGTTCTTTCGTTTCCACCATGCAATGCAATGTAATGTAACAGAGAAGACGAAAACGCAGAATGATCGTCACGAAAGTTGCTGGGGGGACATGATGATAAAAACCCTAAATAAAGCTGGCCTGGCCTGTCGATAACACAGCCAAGGTTAACCCCGGCAATCGTGGATTGAGCTTCACTGTAAGCTTATCGGGTGGCGCCGCTAGAGGATTCAGGCTGAACATTTAGAGTTTACGCTACGGGCTACCGCGCTGGAATTGGAATCTCGTTACGTGACGAGTTTAACGCATCTCAAGTCCTGGCAGTGGAAAAAGTCGCACCATCGGCCTTAGTCGAGACCTGAAGCCATTGGGAGTGGAAGTGAGAAATTGGAAGCCTTCATTCCGAAGGGTGAGTAGGGCTGAGACTCGGACTCGGGAGGAGAAATGATCGACCTGATGTGATGTTGATCATCACACGTTTGTTGCCAAGAATCTGCATGAGTCGTAGATCTAGCCACAACTGAAGCGAGAAAGCACATAACCAACAGAGCTGAAAAGATAGTCAAGCAATGTCATGAGAGGGACATTCCTCTTTTGACAATCCGTATAAGTAAAAGGGCCATTTTGTAAAGTCACCACGGACATTGTCTCATAATCCGAACTCTTGTTGGGTCCTTTCTGACTAAAACGAACAGATGGTCTAACCAGCAGCCACTGCCCCCTTGCTCATAACTGCAATATCGCCAGCTCGTTTCTGGGCTGTTAGCACGAACAAATGTCGTGGGACTCCCCGTTAGTGTGTTCCAGAACTGGGATAGATCGATAGGCGGATGCAACGGATCTTACCCGTTGATGCAGATATGTGCCGGGTCCTCCTTGTTAATATTGGCTGACAATCGCATGCGCACCAACAGTCATCCTGTACCTCCGATAGGCCCGAAATCAGGAACGAAAGCAACCATTTCGTGTACCTGTTGGTTCTGCAGCTGAATCCTTGTGATCGGCTGCAGTCAGCCGATAGCTTCTGCAGCGGAACAAGGGAGTTGACTCGATCTTGTGCTTACTTTTTCCTTCGAGACTCTGCAGTCAAGAAGACTATTGTTACGCTGATTCAGCTCATCAGCTCATGTTTGTAAATTGCTCGAATTATTAAAAAGTTCTATATGTAATGTAGTGATTCGTATACATGTCCTGTCAGTTCATCTTCCTGACTCGCACCCTAATGCTTATGAACACAAGTGCCGCGCTTTCGAAGCTTGGCCGCATCGGCTTTGGCTCTCTCCGACAGCTCGTTGGCGTTGAAGCCGCCGATAGTTCGACGGGCGAGCTTAGCGCTGGTTTTGTCGTCATTGGGGAACTTAGCCTTGACGCCAAAGTTCTGTCCGTCAGCTACATAAACCACCTCACCGCCGACCATGGTAAGCAAAACCTTCTGGCGGCCAAGTTTGGACTCAGGGACCTTGAAGAAGTTGTTTTCGAGGATGATGATGTCAGCGAGCTTGCCGACTTCAAGAGAGCCGATCTGCTTGTCGGCGCGGAGGAAACGGGCGCCGTTAATGGTGATGGACTGGAGGGCGGATTTGCGGGAGATTCCGTTGCCAGGGAACTTTCCGTCGAAGGGAGGGCCTTGGGATGCGGGGGAGTTGGGGTTTTGAGGATCACCGGAGCGAGTGACGGCGACCTTGAGTGCAAGGAACTCATCGAGAGGATCAATCTGTTTCTGTTAGATGTTTCAGACGTGAAAGAATGGCGATACTTACAGGCCAATCGCTTCCATAAACAAGAGGTCGACCCGCCTTCTCAATCTCGGCCCAAGCCTGAAGATTGTCCTTTCGGTAATCGGCGAGAGACTTGAATGTGTTGGGGATGTAGAATGAGCTGAGCTGCGACCACTGGTAACTGACAATAGGATCGACTTTGAGCTTAGCAAAGCGAGGCCAGTCCTTCTCATGCGACAACTCATCGTGAGCGAGACCGAGACGGAAATCCTTGCCGGGATACTTCTTGCGGAACGACTCAGCTGCATTGAGACCAACACGGACAGCAAGATCACCATCGACGTGCAATTGAGCGTCAAAGCCAGCAAGGAAGAGAAGCTCGAGGGTCTTGGTGAGGATGGCAGGCTTCCAGTAAGGGTCGTTGAGGGAGTTCTTATCGGGAGCCCATTTGCCGTCGAGGTCGGAGCTGTTGACGGGTGCCCAGTAAGGATCAATCAGAGCAGCAGTGTTGGCAGGATAAGTGATGACACCATCGATGAAGGCCTTGATCGCCTGCCACTTGAGTGTAGGCTTGGGACCAATGGCCTTGTTATCGTGCCAAGGAGTCAGCTTCTTGACAACGTTGTTGACAAGCGCGGGAACGCCGTCAATTGACTTGGGCGCTTCAATACGGTAGTCGAAGTACGCGCGCGCAGAGAGACCATCCTCAGCCTTGATGGTGCTGAAGAGAGTGTGATGCTCCTCACCAGCAGCGGCTTCTTGGAAGGTAGTAATACCAGCCTCGCGAAGAAGCTTGAGCGCAGCGCGACCAGCCTGGACGTTTTCCTCGGCGGTGGGAGGAGGAGGACCGGCGAGGAGGGCAGAGGCGCCATCTGAGAGAGCGCCCGAGGGCTCTTGGCTACCAGGAAGACGAACAATCTTGCCATCGGCGGGGTCCTTGGTGCTTGAGTCGATGTCGGAGAGTTCGAGGGCGCGTGAATTGGCGAGAACGGTATGGTAGTCGCTGGATCGGATGATGATGGGTCGCTTGGTGTTGAGCTTGTCAAGCTGCTTCTTTCCAACATTTCCACTCTTCTCAACAAGACCAGCATAGTCCATGTTAACAACCTCAAGCCAATCATCGTCCGTCTTTCCAGTCTCGCCATCAATACAGCCTTGAATGTGCTCTAGAACATCCTCAATTGGCAGGGTCTGGTAGCTCAAGTCGCATTTGAGAAGAAACAGACCACCAGAGAGAACATGCATGTGCGAGTCGACAAGACCAGGCATGGCCATCTTTCCCTTGAGATCAATGACCTTTGTGTTCTTGCCGATGTACTTGTCGGCGGACTTCTTGCTGCCAACGTACTCAATCTTTCCGCCGCGCACAGCTAGAGCCGATGCATGTCCGTTGGAGGGACACATGGTGTAGATCTCGCCATTGACAAAGACTACATCTGCAGGCTTGACGACGGGCTTTACAGCGCTCGCCGTAGCGAGAAGCGCGCTGACGCAGAGGGTGAGAAGACCACGAGCCATGATTGAAGATGTCGATGATGGTGATCCCCTTCAATTGAGCCTGAGGTGAGCGACGTAAGATTGTTATAAGTACATTACTCAATGGTCCCTGCACTACAAGCTAACATGGGGTCTCCCAGCGGAGAGTTCGGCTAGAAATTCACAGTGATATTCCATGTCCAAAGAGGGTCAGAAGACCGAATTCCATGGTGCAGGGACTATGGCAGATCGTGGTGATTCCGGCGGCTGCATCGCCTGTAAATGGTTAAGCCCAGCGCATGCTTCCCCCCAAGCGGATAAGTGGACACCAACAGATCATAGTTAGTAATGAATCTATAATAGTAACTGACTGCAGGGTCTAAATCCCTCACAAACTATTGATCACTTTCATCCCACTGCCTCTGTGTGATTCGCTGCATTGTTTACGACGATAAGGCGGTGCCGGTGGGATGCTGATATTGCGACTCTTTACCTACGAACAGCATAGTCTTATGCGATATGATTTCTGTGGCGAAAACTCTCACAGGTCTAGATTTGAAGACTAGACGTTTGCGAAAAACTGATTCGAGTATGATGTGTCGTGAGGCGCGTTGTAGAGTTTGAGCTACGTCTAAGGTTAACTAATAAGTTAAGGTTGCGGATATGTAGATCCACGTGAATGACACCTGTAATACGACATCACTAACATTAACTTTCTTTCTGACACGCGATCAACAGCTACAAATACGACTCTGAATATAAACAAAGTTCAGATATAATATCATCGCGCCTCTATTAGCCCGAAACATCATCATTATATACAACTAATCGCAATTTGCAGCTCCTATCCCATCAAAGTCTCATATCCATTCTCCATCATGACATCCATCCAATACGCATCCTGTTTCTCTTCATCCATGCAAGACCAAGTCTTTTTGACAAGTGTTAACATCCGACGAATAGGCTTTGCCGCTAAAATATTTTCAAAAGCAGAAAGGCGTGAAATGATCGTCTTTCTTGCTTGCAATACATCAAGACCAGCCAGAGGCACTCTGAACCTTGGACTAGTCGCGATGCTTGCAACAGGAGGTTGTTGTAAATTCGAGATCCCGCAGTATGATCTGTTCAATGACATTTCGCTGCAGATACTCACGAATAAGAGTGGTTGAATAGACCGGCTTCTAGAAGTAGTTGGGATATCCTTGACCAGGTCTAGCACATGAAGAGCTAGACACGTTAACCACGTATCTGCCAAGGTTCTATCATCCGGGTAGTTGTTCGCAGCATCTGGAGATCCTGACTGGAATGCTTGGTTGTCTGGGCTTCCAGATTTTATATAAGGTACCAGAAGATCTGGGAAGTTGCGATACAACTGAAGCAAGCCCGTACATCTATAAGCTTCAGCAATGCTGACAAGATGATTCGCAGGGGTCATGTCATCGCCAGCATCGACAATATCATTTTCTGTCGGTAGCCGAATTGCGCACAACTCAGAATGCAGCTGTTCCGAGGCAAGCATGGCTTCTTGAGCCCGCTGGATATCTTCCTGAGAAACAAACCGCCGTGAACGAATCCTCTTTCGCTCCTTTCGCACAAGACTTCCCACTTTGGCAACGAGTTCTTGCACTTCGATACCAATTCCTGTCTGCGGATGAGGCATACGCGGTTCTTGTAAATCAAGACATTCTGGGGGTGCTGGTTGAGGCTGGGTGTGTCTTGTGCTTGAATCCACGTCTGTGACGAAGGAAAGCAGCATTTTCCAGTAAACAAGAGAGTTGTAGAAGAAGAATTCCTTCTTCTTATCTGCGACGGCTAGGGCGTCACCGCGGGCTTCGGCGGACTGAACCATTCGGGATAGAACGTCGAATTGCAGCTGGCCAAGACTACTGGGGTCATGCCATGAAAGACTCATTCCTAGCATAACCAAAGCTAATAAAGAAGATGTCTCAAGTTGAGCAATCTTGGCTTCTCGGGATAGGCAGATCATGGCTTGATCTCGAAGTTGGCGACCGACTGGTGTGAAATTCGGTGATACTTCGGATAGACAAGCAGCTGCCATGCTTTGAGTGATGTAGTAAAGTGATTGAGATCCAGACCACATATTCGAGATGGTTGTTCGGTACGGGTTCATCGGGCTATCATAGCAGGACATCATTCCGCAAACCTCTTTAAAATAGTACTCTACCAAAACAGACGAATAGTCCTGGAGGGCATGCGCCAAAGGCATCTCACCAACAGTCTCGACGGTTTGGTTTTGAGGCTCCTGTCTAGCTAACGCCTGTGATGTTGGCTGTGCTGGCGGAATCGGTTGTGCCGGACTAATGGTGGTGACAGGCCAAAGTCTCTCATCAGTGGACCCTTGAGCTATGGTATCAGGCGTCTGTCCAAGCGCCTGTTCCGGGTATAGCTGCAACACGTCATCCGGGAATTGCATAAGAGGTAAGGCTGTATCTAGCGTTTCCTGGTTTTGGGTATCAATACATCCAGGATTCATAGCGTCGTTGAGTTGATCCATAAGTTCCGGGTCATAGAAATTGTTGACAAACTGCTCAGCCGGCTGAGCCTGATAAGGCACATATGCCGAGCTCGGTTGCGGCTCAGCAGTGACATCGCTCCTAGGGGTTTCCGCAACATCCTTGGGCGATTTAGATCCGGCTTTCCATCGCAGCGGCTTTTGATATCCAGGGCATGGGATTCCTAGTCTCACACAGCGCGAACACGCAGGCTTGGATTCATCACATTTGAGCTATTTAGGCGTCAGGCAAGGTTCGGATGAGCGGGAGGGATAGTCGTACTCTCTTCGATTTACAGACGGCACAGCCAGTGCGTGATCTGGTGATTGTCTTTGGTGCTGGTGCATATGATGAGGACAGCATGACGACCCGTTTGGATGTATCCGCGTTGATGAGTGGAGATGGCAAGGTGCAGATAGATGGAGTGATGTGGAGTTATGAGGGGCTGTCATCACGTGATGATACTAGTTGTCCGGATATGGGACTCGGCTTCGGCCTCGAGGTAACATTCCAGCGTGCAAACCATTGTGTACTATAATACTATAAACTAATTCCTAATAATGCTGTCTATAAGTTCTGGGTTGGTTTGGCGACCCAGGGGACAGGAAAACAGCATATATGTTTCGTGATGAACTACTAGTTCCAAAGTGGAACTCAGCTTAGATATATCCGTCCCCTAAGTCTCCAAGACATCTCGGCTTTCCTAAGCAAACCTGTATCATCATAATATTACTAAAAACATACACTCCCTGATCAAGAATTCCTTCTCTTATCTTGTCCATCTCATTTCACATCCGATCCGAAGCAATGGGTAATATTCCCAAGGAAATCGCCATCGCATCTCGGTCCCAAGACTCACGATGCTCCACCAATCCTTACCAAACTCGGTATTTATTAGAGAAGGACATCAATACCATAAACGGAAGTCCTAAGCAAATGCTATGCTACGGCTACGGCACAGGATCACGGCTACTGTCACCTGGCCTTAGTTATCTGAAGACATGTTTGCCGAAGGACCCAGGCCTCACTTCACTTATCTTTTACCAAGGGAGCCCGCGCTTTGATGTTTCTTCAGCATCGAAATCTTATCAATCATGGCTGTTACTATTCCAAGCCCTTCTTTCAAGGTCGCTCTTGTGCAGATGAAGCCAAAGGTCAGCTAACAACATACAATCCTTTTATTTGACTGACACTTACATGGTCGACAGCCCCTGGATGCTGAACATAACTTTGCACATGCTGCCGAGCAGATCCATATCGCTGCTGATCAGGGTGCTGCACTAGCGGTACTGCCAGAATATCATCTTACAGGATGGGTACCAGAAGAGCCATCTTTTGCGCTTACCCCTGAAGATGCTGGTAAATATCGAAAGAAATACCAAGACCTCGCCGCCGAGCTTCATATCAATATTTGCGCTGGCACATTTGTTTCCCAAGCCCCTAAATCTGATGATCAACAAAATGCTGATGCCAGACTCACGTTGTTAAATACGTCGGACTTCATCGATCATGACGGAAACCTCCTCGGCACCTACACAAAGACGAACCTCTGGATACCAGAGCGAAGTACCTTAACCTCCTTTGCCGATCATGCTAGAAATATCTCCAAAGATGATTACGCTGCCTCCAATCCCCATCAAGTCATCGACACCCCTCTCGGTCGAGTCGGCATCCTCGTCTGCTGGGATCTTGCCTTCCCAGAAGCCTTCAGACAGCTCGTTCTAGCGGGCGCCAAGATTATTATAATCCCTTCGTACTGGACGGCATTGGACATGTGCAAAGATGGTCTTGCATACAACGCCGACTGCGAGAGGATGTTCATCCAGTCGGCTCTGGTAACCAGAGCCTTTGAGAACACCGCCGCTGTCATTTATTGCAATGCTGGTGGACCGGCGGCAGAGGGTTTCTTTGGCTGCAGTCAAGTCGCGCTACCCATTGTTGGAACGGTACCTGGGAGCTTTACCGATGGCGAAGAGTCTATGCGTATCTTGGATGTTGATATGAGGACGGTGGATATTGCGGAACGTAATTACCAGATCAGACAAGACTTGGCCAGGGAAGATTGGCATTATGGTTACCTCAAGAACACGGTCGCGAGGCTATAGGATGTAATAATTGGTACTTCTTTAGTGCGTTAATACTAGCTGTGTCCTAATCCCTCTCGCCTGTACCAAGCAAACACATACAAACCAGCCAGCCGGTGCATGAAAGGTCAATTGCCATGGAGTCAGTCGCCTACTGACAAGGTTGCTGAGATTTACTGCCCAAAGGACCAAGGCTACTCTTGTTACATGTATATCACCAGACAGTTAGGCCTCGAAGGAGATGGACACGGGTCATCTTATGTCTCAGAATGACGAAGTAAATTATTACAATCTGCCCATGTCGCGATAGCCTCGAGCAAGATACAGCTTTTGATAGAATGACAAATTCCATGCTACTTAACTAAACAAATACCAATCCCTCAGATCGCTACACAATATCCTAGTATCGCTATATAGTAATCCCATGAAATACGATTATTCATCTTGCTTCGAGGTTGAGCTAGAGGAAATTTCTTTGGGGCCCTTCTGTGACACTATATCTGTCACGGGCAATTCTTCCCCCAGAATGCACGCAAGCTTGGGACCTTCGTAAGACTTTCTCTTTCCCAGCCATAGAGCTGTCACAAAGACGATAAAGATGCCCAATACTGCAGTCACGTAGTCTAAATCCGTTAGGTTCTGACTGACTTGTTGACCAGATTTACTTACTCATGGTTGATACATTGATGGGAATTGCAGGAGGAAAGCAAAAGAACTATTGGGGAATTATCAGCATCGGTCTAAGTTGACTTTAGGTTTGTCAGAAATGGCAAAACTTACAACAGAGGTGACAGCTACAAAGATAACTGCAGTATAGTTTGCGATGTAGCCTTTGACACGACCGAGAGAAAACTCGGGAGGCTGCGAAAGCACCATTTGTCGACCTCGAATTAGGAGGATAAGCACAGGTGCTGCGTATGAGAGATTGAGGAACAGCGTGCAGCTTGCGATGTAAGCGTTGAATGCAACCTCGGGACCTTTGGGCACATTAGTGGTAAGAAGTAAATGGTGCAGTAGAAACATACCCAAGTAAAGAAGTCCGAACAGAAGGTTGAAAACAGCTTGCACGACAATGGCTCGAACAGGCACGTTGAGCTTTGGATGTAGATGCGAGAGACTTCACCATGTTAGCAATGTTTAGCAGAGAGTGAAGAGATAAAGCTTACTATCGGGAAAAGGGGGTACCCCCATCTCGTGCCATAGCCCAGATAAGACGACTGCCAGAGGTAACACAGCCATTTGCACCGTTTACAAAACACAAGGCAACGGCAACAGTGAGCACAGTTGCAGCAGCGCGGCTTTTTGTCGCTTGTAGTATCATCTCGGTAAGGGGGCTTTGTGTAGGCGATGCAAGGAGCAGATCAAGATCGACGAAACAAAAGAGCATGACGATGATGAAGAAGATTCCTCTGAGGACAGTCAGATTAGGGATTTTGCAGAGACTGTTAAAAACTTACGTTGTACCTCCGACGAGGACTGCAGCAACCATAGCTTGAGGGGCATCCTTGGATGGTCGAGGCATTTCTTCAGTCATGTGTGCTACAGCATCCCAACTGCAACATGTTAGCTATGCTTGGTATAAATCAGTGTCGTACTTACCCAATGAAACTCAAAGCTGACTGTAGCAGTCCAAGCATCCAGGCCGTGCCATCACTCCAGCCAGTAGTATTAGAGAAGTTGGTGAAGACGAACTCGGCGTCCGTCTTTGGAGAGGTAGCGAGAAGGACGATACTGATCACGATGACGCTGAGCAAAGACCAGTACACTAAGAAAAGTCAGTTTAAATAGTAGGGTGGCCGTATCTCGACTTACAAGCGCCCTCGTTCCATCGATTTAGGATGGGATAAGCAAAGATGTTCAAGAACACGCCAACGATAGACACAGCGACAAACATCAAGTACGTGCCCCATTGGGTGATTTCGTAGCTACCTCCGGAGCCAGCGACAGCAGCTGCAGCAAGGAATCGAGCTATAATCTGTAAGCAATTGTTTTCTTGGTAATAATAATTATATATACCTCCGAAGTAAGCTGCAGTTGTGTTGAGAGTCAACCAGCCAGCAATATTTGTCCATCCAACGAGGAAGCTCTGTTGCAATTAGAATTCTGCAATAGAGTAGTACTGGTAGATCTTACATTGATGCCCTTCCATTTCTTGGATGAAAGAGCAAAGGAATAGTGATATTGTCCTCCAGCTGTAGGATACAGAGACGCCAATTCTCCAACACTGGCAGCCAAGCAAATATTACAAAGAACGCAGAAAATAAAGCCGTAGACGAAACTAACAGAACCGCCCGATGGCATCACCAAACCTATTGATCCAGCTAGAGAAATCCATGTACTGTACTCAATTAGCGACTTTCATGCGACGCGACGGTACTCCTTACTTGAGAATGGCAAAAGCCATGCCGATCATAGTGATCTTTGAGAACCTCTTCTGGAGGTGACCCTCCTGGGCCGGTGCATCGCTCGTCATACTTGCCACAATCAATTGCGGAAGACTATAGACGAAAGGAAACAGAGTTGAGGTTTAAGCTTTTACCCCAGACCAGATATAAAAAGCTGAACGTCGGTCTTATCGCGCGTTGGTCGGTGACTTACTCGCGACGGGCGTCCAATCAGCGGGTAATGAGCTCTCCGCCTCCGCGTTGCGGGGGAAATTGATCAAATGATGGGCTAGACCGAAAACGGTAAACAATAGCTTAGGAAAACTGGCTCGAGGCGTATTTTTGGGTTCCATTGTCCCATATTTCTCGGCAGATAAGGCTGCGAGATAACGGGACACCCTTGTTCTAGAATCGGATCATGGCTTGAAAGGGGGGTTGAAAAGGAGAGGATGGGGTGATGATAGGAGAAGGAATTCCAATTGATATTGATAAGATGTAGATTAGTATTCCTAAGGATAGTGCTCAGTATATGGTACTTCTTGAAAGAATAGCATACATTTGTTGTCAAGTCTCTGATTGGTTCGTTCGACATAGTGCAGGGTAAGACGGAAACATCCTCATCAGCCACCATCAACATTGACGTACGCAAGCTGCCGAGGTCATTGTTCTTTTGAAATAATAGTGCAAGATAAACATGGCTCGCTGCTTAGTATTGTTAAAGTCTTGGTATAGAACACACCCCGGTTGTGTTTCTTCCTGTCAAAGATTTCAACCAAAACTCTCAACGTGTTATTCAGCAGCGCTCAACATTAAGCACTCAGCCCGGGACCAAGTTCTGTGTGGTGATTATATGCTCTTAGCCACAGGTCTCAACTGCAAATAACACATCTAGCTCCCTATTTAGATAATATACCATAACGCCTGACCAATTGCTACAGCGTAAATGCTGCTCAACCCAAAACAACCGATTGAGAATTCGAAGTAAGCAAGGTGCTGGGTAGTGGTAGCAGGTAGAACAGATACTTCTTAGAATGTGATCTCATTCTCCTTAACTATGAGGAAAAACATCTTTTAAAAAATATAAAGAGAAATGCATCCACGGAGATAGAGTCTATTTGCGTACAATAATTGGCTATTAGGATGAGACTTCCAAACCGACATGTCAAGATCTATTTTGCAGATATATTGATAGGGTTTGCACAAAATCAACTTAAACCTAAACATTCTGGAAGTTTGAAGTCAAGAGGAATATTTATTCTCTACCAAGCTCCTTGAACCTCTTGGGATCTCCCAGCTTGGACTTTTTTAATCACTTGACTCGACAGAAGGGAACAACATCCAGGGAAAGCCCAAAAGAGCCATCTCAACGCCAGCATATATCCTGGATGCTAAAGCCAAATAAGGATAGAAAATCAACAGCAGTTGTTCAATTACGATTTCTGGATTCTTTCGGCCTTATGGGTATATCTCCACTGATATGAGATTGCCATTCGTCATTGTCAACTGAAGACTCATAATTTGATCTTTATCACTACTTATGCGCGTAATTAAATTAAAGCTATAGAGAATAGGAAATAATACATCATTGACTCGATGAAGAGTCCGTCTTGGTAACTTCGACTGTCGTTATCATAGTCTTTGTGATACCACTATGATACTGGCCCCTGTATCCTGCATTACCAGCACTCTCATCACTTGACCTCCCCTCGATCTCAGTCTGTACCGTCGTCTTGTTCATCACTCCAGACGGACTTGCTATCCTATCTCGAAGTTCATACTCCTGTTGACCGATATTGATGGCCTTTTGACTGCTCGTCTCATCATCGCCCCTTTTACCACTGGACAAGACATGCCAGTTTTTGCCACTGCGCATTGTGCCGCTTCGTAGAGTACCACGACCGTAGTTTGTATTGCCTGTCGTTGGTGTCTTCTTGGAGTTCTTGCCATAGGTGCTGCCGAGGAAGCTTCGGAATAAAGGCCGCAGACAGGGTAGACTACCAGCGATGATACCGACGTTGAGCTCGACGCTGGTCCAGATGGTGATGTTGCGAGAGTCCCATAGCCAGTCACCCAGTTTACCGTAATTGGTGACGTATCCAAGCTTTGTAAAGGCAGCGGCGCAGGCAAAGACGCCAAGACCAAGAATGCCGATAAGTGTTATCCGTGTGCGGAAGTGCACGTTGAGCTTCCAAAGCATGGGTGTTGGGATGATAATGGCGAAGAGAAGATCAGTCAAGATATTGAACGCCGAGTTTGTGTACGAAAGTGTTTGTAATGTCTTTTGTGACCAGCATTTCGAGGGTACGGTTGGATCCCAGAGGACGCGTATGTCAGTACATTGGAAGATGACAGTCTACAGCAGCAAGTATTAGTCGTCTGAAATGAAGGTCAGCGTCGCATAACTTACAAAGAAACACCCAATGGTGTAGATTGACATGAAGATCATAATCGAGAGAATCAACCATTTGTAGAACTTGGTGGAAGCAATTCGTAGCAAGGCGCATCCGACAGACAGTTTGACTACACAAATTGCTATCAAGAAGATGGGTTGACTTATGAAGTTCAACTTCATTCCTGTCATGTAGACATCTGGGTCAACATCGCCAATATGCTTTCCACCGCCGTAAGCAAGCTGGGCAAAGATTACACCTTGACCTGCCCAGGACAGTGCGATGGTGAATATCATGAATGCATCCTAAGCGCAGATGATTAGAAAGATTCAGGAACTGGGAAAAAAAAGGAGCGTGAATGAAAAAAGGATGAAAATAAACGAGATGAGGTACTGGTGCAACTTACATCCCAACCAATGTTGCGAATCATAAACAACCGCACATAAACGCGAGCCAAAACAACAATACTCGCCAAGGTAATCACTAGAACCGTAGAAGCAAGAATATCGACCGCTCCATTCTCGTCGGGATTCGAAGGAAGCTCAACGGGATCCATGGTGGACGAGGGAAGGATGTACAAAGACCCAAGAACTTGGGACGATGGAGAAGGGGCAGGATAATAAGAAAAGAAACACGCATGAGAGAGGGGGGAGCCAGGGGGTTCCCTATCGATCCTTTACTTTCTGCGTACCACGTTTTCGACAGGGTGTTTTATGAGCTAGAACACAAAATTTCCACTGACCAGGAAATCAAGTCAAAGAGTATGCATAATGCCTCGGTTGTGAGTCCACTAGAAGGCATCTGTCATTGCCTTGACGCGGATGAACTACCAGGTTTAATCAAAGATTCTACACATCTTTTTGATCTAAAGAAAACCCTTGTATTGCCACTGTGACTCCGACGTTCAGGTGTATCATACGAGTTCCCTAACGGGGAGTCTAACCCTGGCTGGTGGTGATTAGCCTTGCCCAGATTGGATTGACACATATGCAGGTACTCTGGATAAAGGACTTATGAAACGCTCAGGTCTCGCTCTTGTTCTGTATTCAGGTTATAGCCGAGGCTAATAGAGAAGGTCGAGTAATATCCATAACGACCAATGCGGTGCAGGTCTTGGCGGCCCACCTGACGAGGTGAGCGAGGTTATCTCGACCTGAATGTATTATATGTGATACGCATCTCTATTACGCGATTTTGTCTAATTGACTATGTACTTGAATGTAACTCCGCAATCGAAAATGGGAGGATTATCATCTCTCCTCAAAGTGAAACATCTGGGTGACATCGAGTGATTCGCGAGGGAGATCGACATGACGATCAGCAACAATCTAGTCGCCGGAGAAAAGTAGTCAAAACACGAATCTTTGTCCCGTCACTAACGGGAATGTCAATGTTCGTGCCCGAGATGTTATGGATCCAAAAACTCCACTCATCTTAGCACGGAACTGTTCCGGATCATCAACCCTAGTTTCTCCCGGCGTCAATGCGTCAATTTAGCGTTCACCTACGCTATTACTCCAGCATCTCATAGTCCCCTGCAATCCAGGGCTCTGGAATGTGACGAGAACGTTGGTTCATAGCTTGCATATATCTTCAGCTGTAGAATCATGCATTTCGCCAGAGAAGACCTACCGTAAGCACTCTATTCCCCTGAATTAAGAATCGTCCGGTGGCGTAGTTGGTCCACCCCTGTAATTCCAATGCTAATGCAAACCCGCTGAGGATCCCTAAATCGGATTAGATCTAAGCTATAACTTATCTGGCCTAACGAACCGAACCCCTCCGCCTCGGCAACAAGGGACGGGCTTTTACGAGTCCACATAAAAGTTCTCTTCTACCGTTGGTTCTAGCATTTTAGTCAATGACCCTGCGTTCGTCTCGGCGTATATTCCCATTAGAGATGTAAGCGTACTTACTCCAATTGAGAGGCCCTAGGTCAAGATCCATGGATTGGCCCTGAACGATTATGCGTGACCCTTGACCTTGAAATGCAGGAGAAGGGGAAATGTCCAAGGGGATGATACAGTAGTATATAGCTCATCACCTTTCTGCATCCAAGACAGTTTTCACTCACTGGTCCTTCAAGCCAAACACCGGTGCTGCAAAGAAGATCCCTGCCCTTTCTTTCGTCCCTTCTTTCTCTTGTCAAGGTTGCCATCATGCGTGCTGGTTTCATCTCCCTCCTGGCACTCAACGCCGCTGGCGTTTTGGCTGCCCCCCAAGCCACCACCATTGACTCCTCTGCACCCGAGGTCACCAACATCGATGAGCTCGCTGATCTCGCTGCTTCTGCATACGAGACTGCTCAGGAACTCGCTGGGGATAAGACCAAGCGTGCCAGTACCTGCAATTGGAGCAACGTCCGTGTTCGACGAGAATGGTAAGATCCTTGTCTTTCCCACAGCACTTCCTCTAACATTTGCTACAGGGGCACCCTCTCCAAGACAGAGAAGAAGTCTTACATTGACGCTGTCAAGTGTCTCCAGTCCAAGCCTTCCAAGTCTCCTGCGTCATTCGCCGCTGGTGCTAAGACGCGTTTCGATGACTGGGTTGCTGTTCATCTGAACCAGACTCAGATGATCCACTACACTGGAAACTTCCTCACATGGCACCGATACTTTACTTGGCTCTATGAGGAGGCTCTTCGAAATGAGTGTGGCTACAAGGGAACTCAGCCTGTAAGTATACTCATCATACTACTAAATTGCTCTCACTAACATTCTGGAAGTACTGGGACTGGGCTCTTACTGCCCTCAGCGGCCTCAATAAGTCTCCCGTCTTCGATGGCAGTGACTTGTCCCTCTCCGGTGACGGGGAATTCATCCCCAACGAGCCCGATATCATCCTCGGCGCCTCAAGCGGTCTTCCTCCCGTCTACCTCCCCGCTGGCTCTGGCGGCGGTTGTGTCAAGTCCGGTCCTTTCAAGGACATGAAGGTCAATCTCGGCCCTGCTGCCCTTGACCTTCCCGGCGGTGGTGTCGCTACCAACCCCAACCCTCTGGACTACAACCCCCGCTGCCTGAAGCGTGATCTTAGCGACGCCGTTAACAAGCGCTTCGCCAACGCTACTTCTATCCTCAACAACATCCTCAAGCCCAAGACTGTTCTGGACTTCCAGATGCAGATGCAGGGTGTTCCTGGCACCGGTGACATCGGTATTCACGGAGGTGGCCACTACTCTCTCGGCGGTGATCCTGGTCGAGATGTCTTCACTTCTCCCGGCGATCCTGCTTTCTACCTGCACCACTCTATGATTGACCGTGTCTGGTGGATCTGGCAGATGCTAAACCCCAAGGAGCGTGTTAACGGCAAGAATGCAGTTCAGGGCACAAACACTTTCCTCAACATGCCTCCTAGTGCTGAGACTACGCTTGATGATTATGTCAACATTGGTTGGGTTGGACCTGAGCGACAGATCAAGGATCTTATGAGCACGCTTTCTGGACCTTTCTGCTACGTCTACCTGTAAATGAGAGCAGAATGATATCTTGTACATAGAGCGTATTCGTCTTCATCCGCTAAGCGTTTTAATTATTAGACAAATAGACTTTAATGTTATCGATTGACTTTTATCTGTGATCGTCTTCTGGGTTACGTCCTGACCCCAGTAGTTCATCCACGTTTCCGTGAGATCTTGATCCTCATCTTCCCGTAACATCAATCCCACCTAAGACGGGTTCTTGGGTTTTACGGCCAACTTTGGAGAAGCATCCCAGGAACAGGATATGGTGGTATGATCGTACAACCGTCGCTTGGCACCGGGTAAGCTTACAAGCGACGGTCATTCAGGTTCCAGCCCCAGGGGTTCACTCTGTTGCCCCTGATAAGTTCGCTTGCCGGGGCATCTTCCACAAGCAGTTCTTGGTGTAACCCCACATCATTTATTGTCGAGAAAACTGCCAACTGATTCTTGGCACGTGCTGTCATACCCCAGCATTTCTGTTGCATCATGCCATTTTCAATCCCGAAAGAGATCACGGGCTGATGCAACCCTTTCCACGCGAAAACCTTGAGGGTGGTATTCGCTACCCCTGTGGCTTTCCCCTGCATTCAGCGAATGTTACCAAGCCGCCGTGGCTTTTACAACCTGGCCCTATATATGACATCTTATACATAGCGAAGTTCGGGCTTTTGGGTTTATTTGCTCGGAGGAATACTTCCTAGTTTCCTTTGTTCTCGGATGAAAACGGCCGGCTCGGCGTTATTCAACCTTGCATGGATTTGTACAACTTTGTTGTTCGGAAATATCGAAATCTCTGATTCACGTCTATTGAACTCCTAAGCCATCTAAGATTTCCCGTAGTCATAAAATCCTCGTCCGCTCTTAACGCCTAGATTACCTTCATCCAAAAACTTCTGCAAATATTCCCGGGGTGCACTAGGAATATTTCCCCTCGCATCAGCATAATGCTGTTCAATATCAAGAACAACATCTAAACCGACAACATCCATCTGCTCAAAAGGCCCTTTGGGTGTTTTCAATACTCCTTTGAAAATATCGTCGATTTCTTCTGGTGTTGCGGCGCCTTCTGATGCTGCGAGGAGAGCTTCTCTTTTGATAGCTGCCCATATTCTGATGGGATTGAATTAGTCGCTGTAAAAAGCGAGTCTTTGGGAGAAATTACCTGTTGTAGATGTACCCCATTGATGGTGACTTCACATGAAATGGTGAGAAGCCGTGGGCTTTGCACTGCTCCATCATCAATGTGATGTATGAAGGATTGGTAGTTTCATGACCCATGATCTCGATTTCTAGTCTTTGTTAGCAGCATATTTAGCGAATTACCAGACTTGTGATTCTTACCCGGTGTCTCAGGTGGCCAGTCTGTTGCCTTTCAGTTAGTACAGGTATTTTGCTGGCCTGTTTCCACTCACAAGAATGAGCACTCAAGAAACGGCTCTCGTTTCTCAAATTAAGTCCGTTTAATATCTCCGAACAGGAGTAACTGCTAGAGTTTGACGCAATGATAGTATCCCTTGGAGCCAGTGCATCAAGCTCCGAGATGACTTTCGTCTTGAGCTCGATTTGCTCGGGTACACACTTTTCAGTCAGCCTTTAGCCATTTTTTAATGTTAGGTTTGCTTACCTCGACTACCAACGACGCAGCTTGAAGAGCCTCGCGCAAGCTCTCAGGAGAATGAGTGATGATTCTTCCCCAGGAAGCATTTCTTTTGTTTGAACTTTGTCGAAACTCCTCAATGGCTTTGATACTGGCTTGAAGTTGGGCTTCTTGGCCGTCGACTAGATGGACATCATTTCCTCTACTAGACCACTGAGACGTGGTTGTTAGCAAGGAACTTATGAAGAACAAGAGAATTGATGAGGTGATACATACCATGAATGCCAGGCGTCTTCCTTGAGTGCCCGCTCCGATCAAAGTGACCGACGTCCTAGGAGTTACTGTAAGAACCATATTGACAATATCGAGAAAATCAAATTGTTTGAAAACTTGGATCTATCCGGCTGAGGAGAAGAAGTTGAAATAGAAGCAAGAAAGATACTCTCCCGCAGATCTTGCTCAGCAAATGATCGTCATCATTTCGGATCCGGTCCATGATACCCCAGAAGCTAACTTAGTGAGTGGCGAATATCTCCACTCCATTTCAGTCCCACGAACGTCGTCATCGGATCCGAGACAAAATCAGGGTAATCGTAACCGAAAATTGTCTCTGAGGTCAGCGGCTGGATTCGCTTGAGTTGGGGTAATCTGATTACTTGTTCCGCACCGCGGAAAGTTACAGCGCCAAGTCCATGGCGTCGGTATGTGCATTCAAACCAAACACCTATTGCAATCGTAGATAGCAGGCTATTAGTATCACTCAAACAAAGGGCTTGCATTTTGAGTCGGCCGATGGGAACTCTTGGCATTTAGACTAAAATACTAGGATGTGCACTATTTTCATCAGCCGCTGTTGAGAACTTTGCTATGGCTGCCTGCACAGACTTTGAGCTCTGCGGCAAATGCTTCAACGTCCTCTCCAACGTAGATAACAAACTCTGATAAGTTTCTTCGGTGATTTTACCAATGCCGAAGTCGCGATCAATAGCTTTCCTAAGTAGCTGTACGCCAGCGACGGCATGATGCGGATACGGATCAATAGAAACGATCGGTACTGTAAATACCGTTTGTCTCCTACTCAGATCATCGCCTTCGAATGAATCGCGAGGTCGTTTTAGCGTGAATGTGTTGTGCAAACCGAATGCTAGGGTATTCATCACTGTGTTTTCAGCATCGATGCATATGTCGGTTATATCTGGGAGAAGGTCTTGGCGGTCTGTTGCTTCGATAATGTCTACTAGCATAAGAATGCTGAGATGGTAGTGAAGCATAAGAGAAACTAGAATGTTAGTCAGCGGGAGTTCTTTGTCGTAGGGTATCGTGTTGGTCTTACACCATCGAAGCTTTGTCTGCTGCCCAAGGAAAGGCATGCGTTTATGGCATTCATCCAAAAGCGGACGATAAATGATCCCAAATTGTTTAACAGAGTCTACCACAGCCAGGTATGCTCTTCGAACTTCTGACTCCTCATGGCCATCTCTCAGAGCTTCTTTGAATATGGCAGTTACCTTCCATCCAAGAAGTTTCCAAGAAGCCCCAGCAGCAATGATTTGATTCGCCCTTTCGTCTGTCATGTCTGAGCTCCCTTGTTTCCACTGGCGGGCGTTCTCGTCGAACATCTTGGCACAGGTTTTGACGAGACGCCAGGGGAGTTCAGACTCGAAGCCAAAGAGACCCGAAGATAGAAGGGAGCGGCAGTTGAGGGTGAGAGATGCAGAGGTGTCGAATGTCAAGGCTGCCCAGTATACAATACTTTCGGCGTTTATGAAGCCTGATGTTTCGATTGACTCTGGCGTTGTGACGATGGCTTGTGACTTGAGAGATGGAGAAACTTTGGAACCACTGAACTGCAGGTTTCTCTGACGTGCACGCAGGGTTTGTATCTGCTGCAACGCTGCATGAACACAAGCCTGACCAGATATCCCATCCGTCTCCTCCTCCTCTGAAATACCCTCAGGTATTGGTGTTAGAGCGAACAGAAGTAGAGACAGCATAGATCGATAAGACGGTCTGTTGATGACACGTAGCATATCTCTTCGAGCATGCCTCCAGAGAGTCTGAACAAGACTGCAGTGATCCTCGTTGGAATTTGGCTCTGGAGATGTAACAGGGAGCCATCGTGCCGCGAATGCAGAAACAGTGCTCTGTAGAGACTGTTCAATGTCTCTATTTCGACCGACTAGTTGACTGTCGCCAGCATCTACTATGCATCCATCAAGATGGCGACAGAGGTCAGATATACTGACGTATTTGTCTGCTAGATTGTGACCGAACCTGTTCATGTAAGCATAAGTGGTAGAGACGCTTGGCTAGCACGTACAAGAAAGGACAAGCATATCTTCCCATCCAAGAACCAAAGACCGCCTCGAAGCCTTCTCTGTAGAGAGTATCGAGCCATCTAGAGTCCACATTTTCCATGTTGACACTCTCCTCCGGATTTCTTATCGGACTTGGACACCATGGCAAAGATGCCGACTCAGGCATTGCCGATACAGTTGAGCTATCTCTGTATGTATCATGGTCTAGGTCATTTGCAGGACCTTGATCAAACCCCGGCTCATGGGATGCATCCGTGACTCGACTGCCGCGTGTTGATGATGTGTCACTTGTAGGCCGTGTTGTCCCTCGACGCGACCTACACTTCGCGCCTCCATTGCTTGTCTTGGCATTCTGAAGCCACTATTCAAGAACTTAATCATCTGTTGGCAAGTCCGAAACCGTAGTTACATACCTTGAAGGTGCACGCATGGTGACGGTTCCGACAGCGTGTACACGAAGAGGTCCCTTCGCTGCTCTGGGCATCACAAGCCACGCGCGATCTACGACACTCATCGCAGCTGGAGAACTGAGTACGACGTGTAACGAGACCCGTTGGCATATCGGATCCACTATAGCTGAGTGTTGCACTGGTATCAATTCGCAGTTCAGGAGTGAATTTCGGATCCGGATGTTGTTCGTTGGGAATGAAACGAGTCCACTTTATTTAGGAGAAGAACAAGGAAGTCTTTCATCAGATGATGCGGGGTAATGCAGATCCCCCAGTTCAGCTTTAGCCTGGGGTTGACATTCAAGGTTAGACCGTTTTGACGGTTGATGGTCACATTTTCCACCACTTTCGAGATGACTTGTGCAAAGCCCGATTGGTAAAAGGGGGAGAGGGTGAAATTACGGTTGAAAGCTTAATTTTGGGGAAACTCTTGTTATTTCGTCTGTCTTGTTTGTAACGGGCGCCGCCACATTTTGTTAGGTAACGCTGATCACTGGCGAGAAACGGGAGCCATGTGCTGACAGGGATCTTCGGAACCGAGGGCATGACACTCTTTGTTATGACGTACAAGCTGTTGCATTGTTGAAATCTGCCTTTGAGAGCAATTGGGACTTGAAACCGCCAGAAATGGGTAATAGCTGTGGAGATGTATACGGCATCTGGTAAAGGGTATCATTTCATCGTTGTAACAGATTGATCTGAGATCCATAACCGATAATCGAACCATTATCAAGAATGACTCGCTCATTCAACACGACCATCGGATCCGATTCAAACCCAATTCCCCGCAAGACAAGACCACGACCTGTTTCTCAGTTTCTTATTCCAGATAAGCGTTTTCCGCCTCTACCGTTAGTCCTGTTCCGCCCCTCCCAAGCCTCTTACGATCCCATCACTCAAGATCAGCAACATTAGATATTGCGGGGGAAATCATGGGGAAGACAAGGGTGACGCGACATACTTAAGTTCGCTGATCGTCCCATCTTTTCTGGCCATTTCGAAAACAGAGACACAGCTTTTTATTCCTCACAATCATCATGACTTCTTATTCCACTCCCCCAAATGAGAAGGCCGAGGTCTTTGAGGCCGAGGCTGCTGGTAGAGGGCAGGTTGATCGTATTGATGCTATGGCTACGGCACCTGGTACAACCCTCGAGTCGTTTTCTCATCTTGACGAGAAGAAGATTCTTCGCAAGGTTTGTTCTAAATACCAATATTTATCATCTTATCGCTAATGAGTCTCAGATGGACATGCGATTGATCCCCATGCTCGCACTTCTTTACCTCCTCTCTTTTCTTGACCGTAAGTTTACCACGAACCCCATGACAGCACCCAACTGATCGTTTTAATACAGGAGGAAATATCGGAAACGCAAAGATCGAGGGTCTTCAGGAAGATCTCAAAATGAGCCCGGACCAATACAACTGGTGTCTCACCGTCTTCTTCTTCACATACGCCGCCTTCGAAGTCCCGTCGAATCTACTCCTCAAGAAACTCCGTCCAAGCGTTTGGCTTCCTACAATCATGGTTGCATGGGGTATTGTGATGACACTCATGGGCATTGTTCAGAATTACCATGGTCTTCTCATCGCGCGCATCTTTCTTGGTGTCACTGAAGCTGGTCTCTTTCCTGGTGTCGCTGTACGTCTACGTCACTTCTCCAACCTCTGCTGGTAAGCTAACATGTTCTTAGTACTACCTTACAATGTGGTATTGTCGTCACGAAATTCAATTCCGACAGGCCCTCTTCTTCTCTGCAGCTTCTATCGCCGGCGCATTCAGCGGTCTTCTCGCCTTCGGTATCGCAAAGATGGACGGTGTTGGGGGTCTCGAAGGATGGCGCTGGATCTTCATCCTCGAGGGAATCGTTACCGTTCTTGTTGCCATCTTTGCATTCTGGGCGCTTTACGATTTCCCCGAGACTGCAAGCTTCTTGACAGAAGAAGAACGCGCTTTCGTCGTATTCAGACTCAAGTATCAGGGCCAGCAGAAGGCTGCAGGGCAGAGTCAGTCTCGTGTTGCGCAGGCTGACGAGTTCAAGTGGGAATATGTCTGGGCCGCGTTTAAAGATTGGCAGATTTGGGTCAACATCTTTGTTTACTGGGGTGTAAGTCAAGACATGAGCTGCCATAACGTGAGTAATGCTAACCATGACAGATTGTCTGCCCACTATACGGCATTAGCCTTTTCTTGCCCACCATCATTCGCAACCTTGGCTACAGTTCCAGCAAGGCCCAGCTTATGACTGTTCCTATCTACATCACTGCAGCTATCCTAGCTGTGATCGTCGCTTGGACATCAGACCGAGTTGGCAAGAGAAGTCCATTCATCGTGTCTTTCCTCTGCGTCATGGTTGTTGGCTTTACAATGCAAGTTCCCCATCAAGTCACATTGCTTCAGTTCATACTAACTTTCTCAGGTGCATTTCTACCCACAACCCCAAGGTCGTCTACGCCGGTGTCTTCATCGCAGCATGCGCCATCTATCCTGCGTTCCCTGGAGTTATCACTTGGCTGGCCAATAATCTGTCAGGAAGTTACAAACGCAGCGTTGGAATGGCCATCCAGATTGGAGTTGGAAATCTCGGCGGTGTAAGTGTAGTCCTTTCCCGGTACCAAGGCTCTTCTCACTCACAAACATAGGCTATGGCATCAAACTTCTACCGACAAAAGGATGGGCCTCGCTACATTTTAGGTCACGCTTTGGAACTGGGTTTCATTGGCGGAGGTATCATTGCAGCTCTCATCTTGATCTTCAGCTACAGCCGTATCAACAAGAGCCGTGACAGGAGAATGGCAGCTGGTGAACATGAGACGATCTCTGAGGAGGAACTTTCTGCCAAGGGAGATAAGGCTGTAACCTGGCGATATATGCACTAAATGTACCTTAGATGTTGATTGAATTACATAATGAGATTGGGCTGTATCGTATTGATTTCCTTCTCAACTGGTCGATGCATTTTTCCGCAGAATATAATGGGTGGCCTGGGGATAGCTACAGTGAAAACAGCCTCCATTGCCGCCTTCAAGATAAAGCCTTTCATGATAGGAATGAAGACTAGAAATCAACAGAGCCAAGTTAGTCTAGTCTAGTCTAGTCTCGTCACTTTCAATGCGCGCCCTTGGTTCAACTTTGTAGCCCCACCTAACCCCGCCTCGTTGTCGTTGACGCCCAAGTTTCTCAACATCATCCATCCTTAGATAGGTATTTATAACGAAGTCAATTCCTATCTTTAGTTTGTTTCCACGTTGAGTCTAGTAGCCAGTTACCTCTATATCTTCAAAATGTCCCTTTATGCTCGACAACTCAACATCAATGACCTAGAGCGGTCACTGGCCGTTGAAACTGCCGCGTTTCCTCCTGCCGAGGCCGCCACTCGCGAAAAGGTTGTGATATCCATGACAGGCCTGAGGTATATATCTAACCTTTATCTTAGATTGAGTATCGCTTGACAGTCTGTCCTGATATATGCATTGGCCTCTTCCTTCACGCTGGCGCCAGCTTGCCATCTCCCATTCCTCAAGACATCCCATTCGTGGAGAAATCGACATCCAGTGACGACGTGCTCCTCGCACATGTCATCTCCACTAAAACGACCAACAAACCCGTGAGAGATGAAGACATGGACTACCCTCGCAACTGGAAACAAGTCCCCCAAGGTGACTACGCCGTGGGTCACAAGAAGAATGGAAGAACGATTGCTCTCCATGCTCTTGCTGTCGCTCCCGATTACCAGAGGGCCGGGCTAGGCAAGGCCATTATGCGCGCTTATATCGAAAGAACTAAAGCATGCGATGCCGGGGATCGTATATCGATCTTGACGTACGACCGTCTTGTCCCGTATTATCAGAAGCTTGGCTTTGAGCACTATGGGAAGAGCGAGTCTGAATATGCTGGGGTAGCTTGGCACGATCTTGTGAGTGACATAAAAAAAAAGCCGAAAGACCAATTCTAACTGGGATGTAGTCTTACATACTATCTTCTTCTGTGTGAGAAATCCCTACAATAATGATATTAGATGTGCAGCGTGGTGGACTTCAGATTGAAGAGGCTCGCGTGGTACGGCTAAAGTGGTCTAGATATACAAAGACAACCTGCAGGCAATCCCACCATTCAATTCCCACCCAAACCTCTACTGAAAATCTGGTGAGACGAATTCTCCGACAGTCTCCAGCTATATACTTTCCACCAAGTTATCTTCGGTAAAGAATAAGCGACGCATGATCGGAGGGGCCGTGACATGTACCATAGATAAATGGACGATAGGTGTCGACTCATCACTTGTTTGAAGACGACTTCCATTGACCAGGTTAGCCTCCATTGGCCGAGCGAGATCGAAATGCCTCCAATCTTAACTAGCTCAATTCATGCACAGCACTCTGGCGGGTGGACGGAAGGCGTTCATCGCCTGTCCTTGAAGTAGGGAGAACTTCCCAAGCCGCCAGCTATGATATAATTCTGCGTGAGTCAGCCACGGCGCTTAGACAGACATTAGGGCTGGAACATACACGGCTGGTGTCTACAGTGTCTCTTCTTTTCTCGAGTTGTTTCAAAAAGGCTTTTATTTCCTCCTTGATCCGATTAATCTGTGTGTCGAATAGAGACGCCATAGTAGTACTCAAAATGAATCAGAATTCTATTCAGACGAGGCTTTGGTGGAGAGGACTCTTACGCAATTAGACTGAAGGGCTCGATTCGGGGAAGGCTTGCTGGTTCGCCTAGATTACTCTTCTGGAAAGGGATTGTAAATGTCAAGTCATCAAAGCCCTCGGTCCCAAATTTGTGCTTGCAATCTCGATAATCGTCGCTATCTCGTACGTGCCAAGCAACTTGTTCGGGGGATTTTGTGAGAATTCCTCCGTGACTTTCAACGTGTTCCTTCACCAAGTCTTCGAAGTCCTTGTCAATGTTGACGGAACCAATTCCACAAGCTGGGGAAATTAGTCGACGTTTTCACAGGACAAAGCTACATACCAGATACCGGTTGTATCTCGATAGCCTGAGATGATTTGTGGACCTCGGATGTTCCATGGAATTTATCTTGGATCTTCAGCAAGCAAAAGTCCTTGGGTAAATTAGCGCAATAAATGCAACCAGGCATTGAGGATGTATTTACAGTAGTGCCCCCGCCAGCGTCGACGATCAAGACATTGTCGCCGTCCTGTGGGTTGAACATCAGAGTTTTTTTGTGAGGGCTATGAGGTCACTAACCTTGGTTTGGTCAGACGACTGTGATCGGCACATCTGGAACGCAGCAACCGCTTGTGGCTCAGTCATGGCCACATGAATAGTGTGGTCTTTAACATGGTCAAACCCGGCGTTAGAAATAAGTTGTTTGAAATTGCTCACGAGAGCTGGGTCCCATGTGGCGGGAACACTGAAAAGAAAGTTAATGGTGGATTCTTCAAAGGACTTTCCTCTTAGAATCTTTGGTGTAAACTGTCTGAACCTCAGTTCCTGGTATAAACAACCAAGGAAATCGGTGTAGAGGCTCTCGACCTGCGTCTGGTCGGCATCCTTGTTTCCAAAGTCTACCTTGAACCATTCTCGAGTTGTAAATGGCTTCGCAGAATCATCGGGGACTTCTAGTCCCCATCCAACGAGCTTTGGTGGCTGATGACGGTCACAGTAGAACAACCTGGTGGGGATTTTTATGTCTTTCCCCCACCTCAAAGCTGTTGGTTTTCCATCCCACTTCGATTTGTGGGCGATTCCAGTCCCTGTTGAAAGTTGTCATCAGCCCATCTTGTTGGAGTGATGGCGCAGATTTGGGGATCAATTGACCAGTTCTATACATACCAGTCATCCCAATGTCGATGCCAACCACCAAGTCTGCTGCCATGGCGATAAGGTTGGTTGATTGATTGGTTGGTTGGTTGGTTGGTTGGTTGGTTTGATAGAGGAATCAGCAAAGATTCAAGTGAGAATACAGAGAAAGAGAGAGACTTTTAATTACCTCCGCGACTGTCGAGGAAGGAGAAGAAATTCATTCCTTGTGCGCTGCCACCTGTAACCTGCTTTCCACCGCCAGCTGAGGCGACAGACTCAAGAGGCATCGCGTTCCGTCTGCCGCCATATCCCGTTTCCGCTCCCTATGAAAAGGTGCCACAAATGAGTTGTCACCAGGGTTACCGTGCAACAATTTGCCTGGAGTGTCACAACGGCAATAGAGCCAGTGGTGCTGGCGGGATTGTGCGTAGGGCCATTTGTTGGACGAATTATGTTTAAGCTTGTGCCAACCTCACTAAAGCATCTCAGAGATATGTACCAAACACTTGTAGTCTGATTATGTGCGGTTCGGGTTCGCGCTCTAGCTCACTCACTGAGGGCAGCTGATTCGAATCTGTTGGAGTTCATGAGGGAGGGCTGATCCAGGCTCAAGCCAAGCCAGCCACGCTACTCCACTGCAACACAGTTTCTTTATTCAAAACATGTTTGCTTACGGACGGGATGGCCAATGTTGCGCTAGGGGAGCATTATTGATAATGTAGTCATTTAGACAGGTTTGCTCACTTCAACCAACGGAGCTTGAGTCCTGATTGCCAGTGCCCACCCATCCACATCAACTCATCCCGCACTTTTCACTTGGGTATTTCAACTCCCTTGTCCCAACAACAACGACAACAAGCACTTTTTTTTTACTCTTGCATGTACATTCTGCTACCACGCTTTTCGCTGCAGAAATGGCTCTCTCATTTACGGCATCTTTCTTCATCGGCTGGGCTGTTGGGGTCTGCACGATTTCCCTCGCCATCGCAATCATCGTCCTGGCTTCGAGAGGGACGGCACGTGGAGCCTCTGTCTTCGCCTGGCTAAGCAGCAATCACAACCCCGATGCTGCCGAAACCTCTACCAAACAAACAACTTCAGCTACAAATGTTCCCATTCCTCGACAGGCCACAGTGAACTGGGATGACGACCCGAACCCTATCACATCGCCGCACAGGAAGTTGCACGAGCGTATCGGGGAGATCGTGGGACCCAAAGGAATGAATGAGAATGTTGGGTTCGAGCATTTTATCAAGTTTCTTGCCCTGAAGCTTGTTTACGGCGGCCAAAATCCTGCCATCAAGCCTACCATTATGCCAACCATTGAGAGGTCCAAGTTCGATGATCAAGAACTCATCCGTCTTGCGGGCAACCCCCCGGAAGGTCAGACGTGGTCTGAGTTAATATCAGACCGAGATACCCGATACTACGCCATTTGGGCATTCCTCATCCGACTCCTCTACAAACGAATGCATCCCACTCACAACAAAGTCCTGTGCGGTGATTATAAGCTCTCAGCCACAGGGCATCCCACTCGCGATATTGAAGAATGCCTGTTGCCTCCTGAGGTCTCAAGCTGTTTTCAGCTCATCCCTAATCGCTACGTAGGTGAGAGTGAGTTCACCATCCATAGCAGGGCTGCAGTGGGCTCTACTGACATAATCCCAGCCGAGGACATAGTTTCGGTCTGGAGAGAGGTTCTCTTCATGTTGCTCATGCCTCTATACAAATTGCAATACGTACCTGCGACCGGTTTCCCTGTTGACGGGAAAGACCCGCGGCAGAAGAGAATTGACTCCATGGCCTCTGAAGTCGCCGACGCGCTGAATATGGAGCTCCTTGATGCCTGTGGCCGTTCTGGCGATGTGATCAAAAAAAGGCTGAGCATTCTATTTGGCCTCGCAGCAAACTCGGCGCTCATTTTCTTCGGACAGCCCTCGGAGTGGGAGGCTGACTGGGTCTCAGACCCAGGCCGCCTCGTTGCCCCAAGGATCCGATTCATGTGGAATGGGCAGATCAAATGGACCAGGCCGGCTGCCCTGTATCCTGGCACCCCATGGGCTCCCCTCGCGGTGGATAAACTTGATGAGTAGTCTACCTACCTGGTACCTACGTGTGTATCATGAGCTCCTGTTTTCCTAGGCTCGACGTTTAATTGTTGGATGTTTTGAGGTTCTCTTCTTGTCTGATGCAACCATTTGTGTTTAGTTTAGCATTGAAAGCCAATAAATGAGTCGATTCGTTCTCTTTCCGTTTGCATAGCATAGCAGAATCGCATCGAATATGTTGACGTGTAACAATCACTCCACTAAACCTGGGACAAGAAGCAGGATGACGAGGAGCAGCCATTCACAAGAGCAAAGCGCCGTGCAATCCCGGACTGGACTCCGATCACCAAAGCCCAGCCGCTCGCATAGTTACCTCGGGTAATCCATATAACTGATGGCCAATAGCTAGATGTGACTGTGCTGCAGTCTCTGTTGCCTGCTGAAGACGTGTTGCCCCAAGCAATGCCAATGTTGCGAAAAATACGACTTCCGGTAGGGGCCCGGGCTGACATATCACAGTCACATCCTGGTAAGTTCAGTTTTCCATTGCTTTGGCTTGAAGCTCAGCCGGTATGGCCAAATGACAAAGAAACAGACACCGCCATTAGTATCATGGCTTCATGTGGAAACAGTCCAGACAAAAAAGGAGAAACTATCCCATGTCCATAGTGGAAGCCGCTGTCACGTTATCAGAATGGATATCACCTCTCTACAATGCGTGAGAAACGATGGGTGACAGGATATGGTGATTTCGGCCAGAAATTTAATAAATTGCGGCAAAGCCTACCTTTATTGCTACAGTTATCATCTTCGTCATGAAGCATCTGAGACCTTATTATGTTTGATAAGAATCCATTCTTGTCCTACCATAGCCTTGCTCTGTCTTTGGGTCGCTCGCAGACGTTGCTGGGTGGCAAATTTCCAGGGAATTGCCAGGCAGGCAGCCAAGTGACAGGTCCTAAAAATGGTAGTAAAAACGGTGGTCTATTGATTTTGCTTAGGCTGACGACAATACCTAAGCCCTCAGGCTACGGCAAGTTGCCAGGCGTCACTCTTGACGGCAATTGGACGGCAAGGCGGTAGAGTCATCTCCGGGCTGTTCAGGCTGCAGGGGGTTGGAAGCACATCGTGCATTGTAGATCACTATGTGCCCGGTACCTATAATTTACGGGATTTGCAGCCAAGTGCCAAGTACAATACATTAGAAGATACCCAAGTTAGAATCACCTCCGCTAGTCTAGAAAAGGCTTGATTAAATAACACTGCTCTAACGATAAGTCGATGTTAAATACGAGATGTACTCGGCTGCGTCCAGGGTGCCAAGAGCCTTCTCATAAGCACGGCAGGCTGCCACAAGTTTCTTCCGCTCATTCGCAACCCTCTCAGTTTTCTCTGATGCTGTTTCCTTTTCAGAAAAGCCTTGATAGATGCCTTGAAAGAGTTCTTCTTCCCGTCCTCCTTTGGAACAGGATTTCCATGTTTCTTGGTATGTCCATTGACAGCTTCCTAGGTGTTCTAGTAAGCAGAAATGGTGGCTGGGATGCGCATGATATGGGGTTCGTCAATTGGAAATCGAGGAGTTGATTGTGATTGGAAATTGATGTCTTGGGAAGTGGACATGATGATTGAAGATTGGTGTATGAGTATTTGATTGTGACTGTTTGTCGAATCTTGATTCGAGCTGTTGTGGTGATGAGTGACAAGAGTTGGGATTGCAATGAGTTTAAGTATTGAATTCCGTTTCATTCGAATTAGCTTCAGGCAGTGAACATAATCCAAGCTCAGATGTATTCGTTTACTGTTCAAACAAACGACTACTCGATGTGTGGCAGCACATGCTTTATCCGCCCTTTGGGTTGTTGCTTGCTGTTTGACAAACGCAGTGCAATGGCCCCCGTGTGGCTATTGATGTGGTCGTGAGGATCTCGACATGCCAACCGGCCCCATTTCTAAAAATGACCTCCTTTGTTGCGCGAACTGGGCGCCCCCTTTCGAAAGAGAAGCTTGAGCCAGGACATTCAACTTCGCCCTTTGTTGGCCAGCATCTTCCACCCAAAACGGCATGTCTAATAGCCAAACAAATGCAGCGTCAATGGATTTTCTTCCAGCCTAGCGTATACCAAGACGCCTTCGCCATTCTCCGAGGTGGTGGTCAGTCATTATCATCATCATCACCTACCTTTGAAAAGCTTGAACAGTAAGCTTGGATTTGGGAGATAAACAACACAAAGAATTTCCCGTTGAGGCCTCCGGGTCTGTTCATCCACATGTAGCAGGTCGATCATGCAAGGGGCAGTCCAGAAATAGCTACGCCGCATTATCATGAATCCAGTTTCCTTTCCCACCATGGACCGGAAGATAAATTCTTGGCGCCATGCAAATGATGAGAACACTACTTCCAGAGACTGTTTGGCCGAATGGTAACGATGTTCCTTTTCATAGCTTCTGGTTATCAGATTTAGCAAGCCCCCGCATCCAGTATGTCACATGATCTTACTACTGTGCGCAAACATCAGTCTTTGAAAGGCAGACAAGCCACTTAACACCACGCCCAATCTTCGAATTCGATGACTTTACTCAACAAATGATACTCTACCAGCCAATTCAGGTAAACCTCGTTGTGGCTTCGCGCTGTAATGACAGCTCTTTGCGACGGAAATAATATCAATCAAGTCTGGGCAACGTGGCGGAGTGGTTATCGCGACAGCCTCGAAGTATCGTAAGCTGTTTCCTTCGGGAGCGCAGGTTCGAATCCTGCCGTTGTCGATGTTTTTTTGATCTTTTGGCAGATATCGTCTTTGTATCTCTGGTGTTATAGATGAACCCATACATTTTGCGAGAAAGGAGCCTTATATAGGCTAGAGTGCTCAGAGAATTAGAGATTCATTAGTTATTAATTATAATAAACTTAAAGAAAGTATATATCTTGTGTCTTATTATATACTTGCTTATTTAAAATAGGATTCAATGTCTTGCTGGTAATACTGGTAGAGTTCCATGGATATCCGGGACGAATGCATTTAATTGTTAAGTAACTGGCTAATTGTAATAACTCAGTCAGCAGCAACCAAGACTACACTCACCCCGATACGAGTCAACTGATGTTCAGTTCACCAACAAGAGCCACAACAGAAGCGAACCCAGCATCAGTAGTCGGCCTAATTGAAAGCATACCAGCGCCGAGATCCCACTCAGCAACATGAGCATTCTCCTCAGTGGCCTTATCCGGGCTGCCATCCGGCGTAGCAGGAATACCAAATACCCTGACAGAACCACCAGAAGACTTGGCTTCATCGAACAAATTGTCGATCTGTCCCGCAACCTTGTTATCTCGGATGGAGACTTTGAAACCGAGGTTCCTCACGACGACGAGATAGTCTGGGAAGGCAAGGTTGCGGGACTCTTCAGAGGCATTGTTTGATAACTGATAGCGCCGTCCTGGACTGGGAACATTCCTAGAATGGTGTTAGTATATGGGAGTCTTCCCGATTAATTAGAACTTACCAATCGCCAGCTGGAACACAGATAGTTTGAATTTCATCATACGAGAATTGCACGTCGAGGTTAGTATCGGTGTCCATAGAACCGAAAGACACAGACTTCTCGTTGGTGCTTCCTTTACCAGTAGAGAAAGACAACCAAGGCCCGTAAGAGAATCCGTCGGTGGCGGCATGACCAAAGTCAGATTCGTTTACCTCTCTACCATCAGCAACGTTGATCTGAGTAGAAGAGTCACCATCTCCAACGCCGTTCATCCAATGTTCAACTTGCGCAGTGTACTGAAGAGACATCCATTCAGGGACATATGTGATGGCGTGTGGTGTTCTGTCTCTCTCGAGGAGTTCACGGGTGATGTCAGCTGAGGCGTGACAAGCAGGCATCGTGATGCTATCAAGGTTAGGAAGTGGTCAAATGCTTCGGAAGATGATATCTCACCCTGGGACTGACTGCCCACCAATCAAGGCTTTGACAATTCGCGTGAAATCCCTGGCTAGCGAACTAGCAACTGGTCCGCCTGTGTTGAGGAGGATCGCCTGATAGTCTGCGGCTGCGGCCTCGACCTTTTGCTTAGCTGCCGAGTATGCGGGAGCATGCGATGGCCACCATTGAGAAAAGTCTTGTTCACCGGTGAGGCCGTAGCCTTCTTCTTTTTCAAAATTCTCTAGGGCACGATCTCTCTCGCGCAAGGCCTGGTCAAGTGCACTTGTCAAGGTTCGGCCTATCATTGTTACACGAACTTGGTCGCCCTCGCCCTGTGACTTGTTAGAGGAGAAATCACTTGCATGCATTTCACGTACAATCTTGACTGCCATCAAATATCTAGTCTTGGTTAGTTACATGCGTACTGCATGGTGGCGATGTACTTACTCGAGCAAACATTGAGTGTAAGTTTTGTGATGAGCTGGATCATAGAAAAGATCATTAGTTTGTAAGAAATTGTTGATGATGTTGTTGATTCCATAGTTCGTATAGGCTGGGTCGATATCTTGTGACGCGACTGGTGCCTTTTGCGCATGCTTGGTGAAAAACAAAGCAGGCTTATGTCCAGGTAGACCACCGACAGCATTCTGCACTGCCTTGCAGTATGCCAGCCACAGATACTTGTCAACTTCGTTAAGAGCCATTTTCGCAGTAGATATTCGAAAAACCGTGGAACGCAAAATAAGATGGAGAGACCCAGGAACAGCGGCAGAGCGCGAGATGGAGACCCGGCTTTAAAAGGAATCTGAGCAAGCCATGTCTCTCCCATGTATAATGTATCGGCTTTCACTAGTTCTAGGCCCAAGGTGATCTGAGGTGTGCAGATGCGCTAGTCTCGTAGCTCCAAACTTTATCAGGCACCACCGAGTTGGGCCTCGCTTTGTATCAATAGATCTGTATTCTGGGGACTCGGCTATAGATCCGGTGCAGATGGTGCGGGGATTTCGAGGCATGGCTTCATAATCCACCGTGAATAGTTCATCCGCTTTACTGAGAACCGTCTAGTCAAGTCCGCGAATGCGTTTTTA